TTACTGGGCACTTCCTGCCTGTAGCTAACAGGCAAATACACATACATGGTGTTAGATGAATCAGTTTGTTCACTCAGTCTGACATGCTTGCATAGGCATACGTGTAGGAACTATTATTTATTTTAGCTAGATGTAGATTTTAGCAAACCTGTAATCACAGCCCTGGGGAAGCTGAGGCAGGAGGATCATGAATTTAAGGCCAGCCAGAGTTGGGCTATATAGCAGTGACATCAAGTCTCAAAAAGAATGTATATTTAGTTTTCCTTTTTCCCTGCTCCTGAACCTGACTTCCAATCTTTTGCCTTCCTGCTCTTCTTCAAATTTTGATCCTCAGATCTCAGTAGCTAGGATTACAGTGTGAGTCACCAGCACCCAGGATTCAATTTCTTCTGGTTGATATTAGGGTTCTTACTATGTTGCAGACGTTAGTCTAACTCCTAGGCTCAACTCATTCTCTAACCTCAGCCAGTGCTGCATTTGAAACTCGTGTTTTGAAGTAACCTGCTTCCAGGAGTACCAACCAGATTAGGCTCTGCCACCTAGAGACCAGCACTGGTGAATGGCAGAGAAAGGAAGTTATATTGATAGAAGTGTCAGGAAGACAAAGTGACCCATGACTGTCTTCAATGGGCTTACAGGAGCTTTGAAGTTTTATAGGCAAGAGAGTTAAGATGTATGATATATTCATAGCTGTCTGAGCAGTTTATCTTGAACAGGCCAGTGTCAACTCTGAAGGATCATTATCTCAGTTCTGGCTCTAGGAGGAATTTAGGATATGTGGTTTTCACTTTCATTACTTGAGAGGAGCAATTGGTTCCCATAGATGATTACTCCAGTTCCAGGCACAATCTCATTATAATAATTATCTTTATTTAATGGTAATTGCCACCACCTCCACCATCATCACACCTTCCTCTTCTTCCTCTTCTTCTTCTTCCTCTTCTTGTTCTTGTTCTTCTTGTTCTTGTTCTTGTTCTTCTTCTTCTTCTTTTGTCTTCGTCTTCATCTTTGTCTTGTTGTTCACCTTCTCCTTCTCCTCCTTCTCCTTCTCCCCCTCCTCCTCCTCCTTCTTCCTCTTTCTTCCTTCTCCTCCTCCTTCTCTTCCTTCTTCTCCTTCTATGTCTCCTTCCTCCTAGTCCTCCTCCTCCTTCTCCTTCTCCTCTTCCTTTTTCCCCCTCTTCCTTCTTTTTAAGGATGGGGAAAGGTTGTCCTTGCACACCTGTGCTGTTCCTTAGTGGTAGTTTCAGTCTCTTGTCATAAAGATGTTATCGATCAGTCTTGTTCTTCCTGAAATCCGAAGTGGCCACAGGAGTGAGAAATTCGAGAGAGGAATAAAGTGGCACAGAAGGCCAAAATGGAGTCAGTAACGGCAGTGAACAGTGCCTGCTTTCAGTACTAAAGGCACAAGCCTCATCAGGCTCAAGGAGGAATTTTTCCAGAGCTATAGTGTAAAAGACAAACCTGCTGAGTGGATGCGGGACGGGGGGGTCTTTCAGGAGAATGATAATTTTTTATTTCATTCTAGATGGAAAGAATTAGGGCTGGGAAGGTGGCTCAGCGGTAGATGCTTGCTTGCATGCATGAGGCCCTGGGTTCAATTCCTCAGCACCATATAAGCACAAAAGCCAGAAGTGGCGCTATGGCTCAAGTGGTAGAGTGCTAGCCTTGAGCTGAAGAGCTGAGGGACAGCGCCCAGGCCCAGAGATCAGGCCCCACGACCGGACCAAAAAAAAAAAAAAAGAATTAAAACAAAGACCTTGAATAATTTCTGAAGTTACTTTTGGTTGCACAGAAAATGTCCTAGCCAGGCTCCGGTGGCTCACGGTTGTAATCATAGCTACTCAGGAGGCTGAGATCTGAGAATCGTGGTTCAAAGCCAGCCTGGGCAGGAAAGTCCATGAGACTCTTATCTCCAATAAACCACTCAAAAACCAGAACTGGCACTGTAGGTCAGGTGGTAGAGTGCTGGCCTTGAGCTGAAGAGCACAGGGACAGCGCCCAAGCCCAGAGTTCAAACTCTACCACTGACCAAAAAAAAAATAAATAAGAGAGAAAGAAAAAGAAAATGTTCTGACCTAGACTGCCCTTTAGGGTTATGACTTCATATGCAATTTGCATTCATTCACTGGACAGTCACAGAATATTGTGTGAATTCAGACATTAAGCAGGCTCCAACAAAATGGGCCAGTTTCCTGTTTTCCCAAAGCTTGAAAATATGAAATAACTAAATATTGAACTTCGATGTGCACATGTGTGTGTGCATGCGTGTGCATGTGGGAACGTGTTCCCCAATCCTGGGGCTTGAACTCAGGCCCTGGGCACTATCCCTAAGCCTTTTTGATCAAGGCTAGTGCTCTACCACTTGAGCCACAGATTCATTCCTGGCCTCTTTTGCGGTTAATTGGAGAAAAGAGGCTCATGCATTAAGATCTCAGCCTCCTCCTTAGTTAGGATTGTAGGCCTAAGACACTGGTACTCTGCTGTGATCTGTGTTTTGAAGGAAAGAAAGCATACTACCATGAGAAACAGAGTTAATTAGGGAACAGCTTTATGTCCTTGGAACACATCCTGCTCTTCACACTTCACGATCTTTTGTTCACACTTTTAATACTAAAGTACATTTTAAAATTATAAACCCCTGTCAAAATGTGTGTGTGTGTGTGTGTGTGTGTGTGTGTGTGTGTGTGTGTGTGTGTGTGTGTGTGTGTGTGTGTGTGTGTGTTGACCTCAGGGCCTTGGCATTATCTCTGAGCTTCTTTTGCTCAAGGGTAGCACTCCAACACTTAAGCCACAACATCACTTCCAGCTTTTTCTGTTTATGTGGTACTAAGGAGTCGAACCCAGGGCTTCATGCATTCTAGGCAAGCAATCTACCACCTAGCCACATTCCCAGCCCCACCAAAATCTTAATATGACACTGAAAAGCTCAAATGTCACCTTCAAGACCATTTCAGGTCCTCTGTTTAGGCTATTCTGACACATTGCTAACAAGTATATTATAGTGCACAGTTCATTCTGCCAAGTATATTCCTATTGTGGAGGGACCAACTGTTCCAGTTTTCCTGATATGGAAGGTTTTTCTGGGATGCAGCACTCTTCCTTGGACACGGTGCTAAAACCAGGAAAGCTCTGGACAAATAGGGATTTGCTGATGTTTTTTTCCCCTTTGACAAGTCTGTTTTCCATTTAAAATCCAACAGTCCAAGAGAAAAGGGGCCACAACTTTTATTTGTGTGACGACTTGCATATAGAAATAGTGATAATAGTAAGCTGGGTGCCTGTAACACTAGATACTCAGGAAGTAGAGAGCTGAGGATCCCAGTCCAGTCCAGGCAGAAAAGTCCTAGAGACTCCATGTCCAATTAAACAGCAAGAAAAGAGCTTCAGTGGCACAATCTGTTAGTGCACAGTACTTATAAACAGCAAGAAAGGCAGGTTGGTGGTGTGGCTGAAATGGTAAAGCAACAAAAGCAAATTAAGCAATCAAGAGCCCCTGCTTCAACCCGGTTGCCACTAGATAGTTTATTCCTCATGAGGGGCACAGGCCTTCCCCCAGGTTTGGAGGTTGTACAAGGGGTGGATTTGGGGTGGGCTTAACTAGATCTTAACAAGGAAGCAGAAAACAAAATATGGGCTATGGTCTCTTGGGGGCAGTGTCTTTGGCCAGGCCCAGAGTGGAATGCTACGGGTGGGGGTGAGGGGACTTTCAGCTAAGCCTAGTCCAAATGGCTTGTGGGCAAGCAGGTGAGCCAGAACCTGGTGCTTTGCTTGACCTGGGAGAATAAGGTAGGAGTCAATCCTTCAGTAACTATTAGAAGTTGTAACTAAGAACCTAAAATTTCTAGTGAGAAGAGTGACAAACATTAATGTTTGGCAGATGGACTCTCAAATCTACTTTTATTAAGTGGTGCATTAAGTACCATGTAGCTTCTGGAAAATTCCACTTCACAGCAGTGAATTAAATTACCTTCTTACTAAGATGATGTATTTTGGTTGATCACCAGTGACTCACGTCTGTAATCCTACCTACTCAGGAGCTGAGATCTGAGGATCACAGATTAAAGCCAGCCCAGGCAATGGAGACTCTAATCTCCATTTAAGCAGCAAAAAGCCAGAAGTTGAGCTGTGGCTTAAGAGGAGTGTTAGCATTGAACATAAAAGCTCAGGGACAGTGCCCAAGCCTTGAGTTTAAGCCGGGGACCAACACAATCCCACATACACACAAAATAGAAATTAAAAAAAATATTATGAGGGCTGAGAATGTGGCTTAGTGGTAGAGTGCTTGCCTAGCGTGCTTGAAGTCCTGAGTTCGATTCCTCAGTTCCACATAAACAGAAAAAGTCGGAAGTGGTGCTGTGACTCAAGTGGTACAGGGCTAGCCTTGAGCAAAAGAAGCTCAGAGATAGTGCCCAGGCCCTGAGTTCAGGCCCCAGGACTGGAAAAATAAAAAAGTTATGAGGTTTTTTTTTCCCCCCTCAGAGACCCCTAAAAGGGTTTTAAGACCCTGAGTCTCTAAATACTTGGAGGCACAGCTGTATTGTATGTATGAAACAATCACTTATCCAGAATTTTTAAAACCTTGATGGCAAGCATCAATAGAAGAAGCATGTTCCATTTACATGTTTGCTATTGGTTTGTAGAATGGGTCTAAGACAATGCCAGGGACACTAGTGAGAAGATGGTGAGGCCAAGAGGGACCGGCCCTTCACCAAGTCTAACCTGTGAGGACTTTTCTTTTGGGTGACCCACTCAGTGCTCGGCCTTGAACTACAACTCCCAGTAGATCTTGCGACAGAGCGGGCGTGTCCACAGACGCAGGGAATTTAGGTGACTCAAGCTGATGACGGAAGTGAGAGGGAGCGTGCCTGTTTGGGGCGGATGCTGTGCCTCAATTGGAGGAGACAGGAAGAAGGCAGAGCTTATATTGGGACAGCCAATGACTGATGGTCAGACTGAAGGAGGAAAGGGGCGTGGCCTCGCAGAGTAGCAAGCGGCGTGGAACTGCTTGGCCCTAGGGACGCAGCTCTAGGGAGGGCGCGATTTTGGGCCCTCTGTGGCCAGGCAAAGGAGATGGCGGCGCGTTGGAGCAGCGAAAACGTGGTGGTGGAATTCCGCGACTCACAAGTAAGCCGGAGGATGGAGGGGAGGGAGAGGCTGCGAATGGAGCAGTGTGAGCATGCGCACTGCATGGTCTCTCTCCCCCCCCCCCCCCCCTACGCCGTCCTGTCAGTCAGCTGAAGCGAATAAGACCTCCTGGACTGGAGCGATTTAGGACGGGGGTGACCTGGAGCCGTCAGCTCCAGGCGGGCGCGGAGAATCTTCTTGACCGTGGGAGGGCAGTTCTCCACTTTCTGTGGAAAGGGGAAGCCTACCTGGGAACACTGAGGCCGAGATGACGGGTGGAAGGGGGGCTTCCGACGCCCAGAGTCGTGAGCTGGAAGGTGTAGTGCGCTTGGTGACCTGGGGGCAAGTTGCAGAACTTCTCTGAGCCTCAGCTGCATGGATTTAGTTCTTCCTTCGCGGGGTTCTGAGGCGAGCTTTGTGACATCCTGCTTGCAAAGTGCCTGCTTCGGCGTCTATCCTAATGAATGGTTGCGGACCGTTCTAATAGTGGAAAAGACAGTGTAATGGACAAGACGACCGGTACTACTTGAGTTTGAACCTGGGTGTTGCCACCCCCTCCACATGTTAGTTTACTCTCATGTCATTGTATCTGCCTCAAGGATTGGCATAAGAATTTTATGAAGGCATACTTCCCATTGACACATGCACATGGCAAGTCTCAGGAAATGTTAGCATTTTTTTTTGTCGGTTGTGGGGCTTGAACACAGGACCTGGGCGCTGTCCCTGTGCTCTTGCTCAAGGCTAATGCTCTACCACTTTGAGCCACAGCTCCACTTTCGATTTTCTGGTGATTACTTGCAGATACAAGTCTCATGGACTTTCCTGCCCTGGCTGCCTTTGAACCGCGATTCTCAGATCTCAGCCTTCTGAGTAGCTACGATTACAGGTGTGTGCCATCAGTGCCAGCCTGAAACGTTAGCATTTACTAACGATTTTTAAAAACCATTTTTCTATACCGTGTCTTCCATATGGCAAGCTTTGTGCTAAGTGATTTACCTAAAATTATCCTTTCCAAATGAATGAAAAAACTGTACAAAATGAGCAAGCATTTTCTCTGTATTGCCAAATAGGATGCTGATCCCCAATTAACTAATCTACAGTGACTTGGCTAAGGCTTTTCTTAATAATGGCTGATGGCATTAGCTGATGACACCAGCTCTGACTGCTCCACCTCCTCCCCTGCAGTACATAATACTACTTTGCTTAGTAGCTAGACCCTGTCATAAAACTGGTCTATAAGAATTGTGTGTCCCCATTTCTAACACCTAGGATATTACTGGGTTTTACTCTTGATCTGTTTAACATATTATTAAATACTTTCTGTGTGCCAGACTTCTTGATCTCCTCCTGGATGCACAAGTATAAAGTCCTGTCCATACTCAGTGGGTTTACACTGAGGATAATCTGGATTACAGAAAGTAGGTGGTGTGGTTCTTTCAACAATCCCATCCTGTCTTTCTCCATAAATATTAAAAGCGTAGAGGCTCTACCAACGGTCTGCTCTGTGGTGCCCTCTGATAAGTAGCCCACATTGAGAACTTGATAGTAGCTTTTGGATTAATAGATCCTGAAGCACTTTTATGCTGTCAACAGACAGCATTTCTTTGACCTCTCTTTCCCTGGGTGGGGTGGGGGGTGGGGAGGTGGGGAGAGCAGTCTCCTAGAGGAAAATAGCCATCTTGCTATTCTTTCTTTGTTGGTTGTGGAGCTTGAACTCTGGGCCTGGGTGCTGTCCCTCAGCTCTTCAGCTCAAGGCTAGCATTCTACCACTTGGGCCACAGTGCCACTTCTGGTTTTTCTGGTGGTTTATTGGAAATTCATGGACTTTCCTGCCTGGGCTCGTTGTACCTCCATCCTCAGATCTCACCTTCCTGAGTAGCTAGGATTACAGGTGTGAGCCACTGGTGCCCGCCATTATTGTTCTTATTTATTGCCTTCAATGGGGAGTAGGACAGAATGGGATAGTGCATCATGCCTCCAGGCCTGCTAGTTGAGAAGATATTAATTTGCAAGCCCCTGATTCTCATAGAAACCAAGGTAGTCTCACCCCTCTACCTTTATAGAGATGTAATTGAAGTAACCTACAGAGAAGGTGCTGACACACACATTAGGATGCTATGATGCAGGAACAAATAATAATTAAATCTAAAGAGCAGTTGTCATAGTAAAAGAACAAAGTACTTTGCGTAATATAACTACCTTTAGGAGTTTCTGTTTTTCTTTTTGATTTTTATATTTAGAGTTGAAAGTGTATTTCTTTCTTTTTCTTTTTCTTTTTGTGGGGCTTGAACTCTGGGCTTGGGCGCTGTCCTTGTGCTCTTCAGCTCAAGACGAGCGCTCTACCGCTTGAGCCACAGCACAACTTCTGGTTTTCTAGTGGTTTATTGGAGGTAAGAGTCTCAAGGACTTTCCTGCCTGGGCTGGCTTTGAACTGCGATCCTCATATCTCAGCCTCCTGAGTAGCTAGGATTCCAGGCGTGAGCCACCGGAACCCGGCTGAAAGTGTGTTTCTGTAGTGTGAATTTACATTGTTTCCCAGTGATGATTGAGAGAAGCTCCTGCCTCTCTCTGTGAACTATTGAATAAAGTAGAAAAAGTTAATCTTCATAATGCCCCCCTCTTTTTTTTTTGTCATGGGGCTTGAACTCTGGGCTTGGGTGCTGTGCCTCATGGACTTTGCTGCCAGGCTGACTTTGAGCCACGATCCTCAGATCATTTTCACCAGGGTCGGTGGCTCACACCTGTAATCCTAGCTACTCAAGAGGCTGAGATCTGAGGATCACAGTTTGAAGCCAGCCTGGGCAGCAAAGTCCGTGAGACTCTTATCTCCAGTGAACAACCAGAAAACCAGAAGTGGAGCTGTGGCTCCAAGTGGTAGGACACTACTAGCCTTGAACAGAAGAGCTCAAGGACAGTGCTCAGGCCCCGAGTTCAAGTCCCACAACCAAAAAGAAAAGATTCTGTGAGTAGAGCGCTGGTGGTTCCTATCTATAATCCTAATTACTTAGTAGGCTGAGTTCTGAGGATTGAGGTTCAAAGACACCAGGGATGGGAAAGTTTGTGAGAGTCTTCTCTCCAGTAAGCTACCAAAAAGCCGAAGTAGAGCTGTGGTTCAAGTGGTAAAGCACCAGCAAAAATGCTTAGGGATAGCACCCAGGCCCTGAGTTTAACCTCCAGTTCCAGCACACATATAAAAGTAGATGTTAAAGTTGGGCAGGAGCTATTAGGTTTCACTGCAGAGGACCACTGATAACTTGCTAGCTGGGGACTGCCTGGGAGATAGGAGAAGGAAAAGCCAAAGGGACATCTGTCTTTCCCTGCCTGGATAGATTTTGCTGGCAAGACTGAATCTTATTCTCTCTCATAGGCAACTGCAATGTCTGTGGACTGTCTTGGGCAGCATGCAGTGCTTTCTGGGTAAGTGAGCTTTCGGATTTGGCTACAATATCTGGGGAACAAATTGCAAGGAAAGTTTTTGGGAAATTAGAAAATATTCTCCCCCCTCCCCCTTTTTTGTTTGTTTGCTGGTCCTGGGGCTTGCTGTGGCCTTGGGGACTGTCTTTGAGCTTCTTTTGCTCAAAGCTAGCCTCTACCACTTGAGCCACAGTGCCACTTCCAGCTCTTTCTGAGCAGTTTATTGGAGATAAGAGTCTCATGGACTTTTCTGGCTAGGCTGGCTTCGAACTGCCATCCTCAGATCTCAGCCTGCTGAGTAACTAGGATTACAGGTGTGAGCCACCGGCATCTGGTGAAAATAATCTTATATTTAAAGATCATGATGGTAAGATTTAATTCTCATATCCTAGTGTCTGCAAGGGCCTATTTGTGGATTATTTGTATATTATTTTTGTTTCATTCCTAAAGGGTAAGAAATACAGTAGACCTTTGGTATCCTCAAGTACATAGTTCCAAGGAAAAACCACACATGCTCAGGATGCATAGAGTTCATTACTACACCTTTGAGTACCCGCCTTCTACATGGGGTGAAGAAGTGGCCACCTGGCTGTAGTACACAGAAACCACTGTCCTTAGCTTCTTTCAAACAATTCTGATTTTTTTTTTTTTTTTTTTTTGCTGGTTGTGGGGCCTGAACTCTGGGCCTGGGTGCTGTCAGCTCTTCAGCTCAAGGCTAGTGCTCTACCACTTCTGGCTTTTTCTGCTTATGTGGTGCTGAGGAATAGAACCCAGGGCCTCATGCATGCAAGGCAAGCACTCTACCACTGAACCACCTTCCCAGCTCAATTCTGATTGTTGTGTTCTGCTTTTTGTTTTCCAGCCCTACCTGATCCTGGCCTTGAGAAGGTGTGGCCAGATCCCTGTTAATGGGCTTGCTCCCCTCCTCTTCCCCTTCAGCATTAACGCTTTATTTGGCTTCCTTTCTTGAGATTAGTTATCACTTGTCCATCTGCTTTTCATTTCCTCTCTCATTTTGCCTTTGTGGATCTTGTTTTGTTTTTTTCTTTAAAAACTCTTGAGGCTTGGGGGGGGGGGGGAATAGCTATAAATGCATATGTTCTATTGACCATGTTCATTCTCAAGTGCTTGCTTTTTGCTGCTGTATATTTGTTCTATGATGTTTGAACTGCCCTGGTGATGTATATGTGTCCCATCTATGGAACTCTTTGCCTTGTACTGACTTTCTTCTCTTTTTGGCAATACTTGGGTTTGAACTCAGGACCCAGAACTTGATAGGCAAGTGCTGTGCCACTTGAGCCATGCCTCTAGCCTTTAAAATTTTCTTTCTGAAAGGAAGATGCCAGCTGTTCACAGCAGGATCAGATGATTTCTTTGGAGGAGGCCAGAGGATGGTGCTTTGTCATTTGAGTTACATTGCCACTTTTGGCTTTTTGTTAATTGGAGAAGAGAGTCAAATTTTTCTGCCTGGGCTGGCTTCAAGCCACAATCTTCCAACTCAGCCTCCTGAGTAGCTAGGATTAGAAATGTGAGCCACTAGCACACCTCTTGATACTGTGTCTTTCCATGGTATCCTTCTTCTCCTTTAATTATTCTTCCTTAAAGTGTCTGCCACTATCTAGAATTTTATGCTATTTCCCAGTTTTTCTGAACAGGAATTATTGTACTTATTTTTATTTTTAGCCTACTCATCTTCATGGATATTCAGGGGCTTGTAGAGCTATCTAATAAATAATCAATACCAGATGGCTATAGGGGTATTGATTCCTGTACCAGCCTTTTTTTTTCTTCTTTCTTAAAATAAAAGAAAATAAGTGATCATAGGACTTTTTTTTTTTTTTTTTTTGCTGGTCATGAGGCCTGAACTCTGGGCCTGGGCACTGTCCCTCAGCTCTTCAGCTCAAGGCTAGCACTCTACCACTGGAGCCACAGCGCCACTTCCAGCTTTTTCTGCTTATGTGGTGCTGAGGAATCGAACCCAGGGCCTCATGCATGCGAGGCAAGCACTCTACCACTGAGCCACCTTCCCAGCCCAACATTTTTATTTTCTAGATTCTTTGTATTTATAGACACTTTAGACATCGGCATACTTACTATATGTAACATTAATTATCAGTATTTTTTTCCTTGGGTTATTATTTTCCTTCCTGGTAGATTTAATTTGGCTTCCAGACAGTAAGCTTGCAGAGGAATTTGAGATTTCTCTGCAGGATTTTGGCCTAGTGATGAGTGATGTGTTAATTCCACATACTTATCAAAGACTGCAGAGCACTGTTCCTGGTGACATGAAGCTGACAAAGGTATTCAAGACATTGTCCATGTTCTAGACACTCAGAGAAACTGAGACAAGAAGCTTAATATTCATGGCCCTACTGCAGAGTAATTGTAGCCATAGAAATGCAGCCCTGCCATGGGAGTAATATGGAAGCAGGCACTGGGGTGATGGGGGGAGGGGAGTGGGGCAGGTTGGGTCTGACTCAGGGAGATTAGACACTCTCTCACAGGTGGATGTGGTAAGAAGGACAGGTCTGCAGGTAGACTCACAGGGATTTGACTTCCCTTAGCTTGCTTACCAGCTTGAATTACTCCAGTCACTTAGATGCCTTTCAGAGTAGATAAATATCAAGTGTGTCTGTTTTGTTTTGTTTTTATGCCAGGCCTGGGGCTTGAACTCAGGGCCTGGTTACTGTCCCTTAGCTTTTTTTTTTTTTTTACATTTTAAAAATTATTATATCTTTTTTTTTTTTTTGGGGGGGGGGGTCCGGTTGTGGGGTCTGAACTCTGAGCTGGGCACTGTCCCTCAGCTCTTCAGCTCAAGGCTAGCACTCTACCACTTGAGCCACAGCACCACTTCTGGCTTTTTTTTTTCTGCTTATGTGGTGCTGAGGAATCGAACCCAGGGCCTCATGCATGCAAGGCAAGCACTCTATCACTGAGCCAACTTCCCAGCCCCAAATTATTATATCTTTAAGTAGTTGTACAAAGAAGTTCCCATTCTACAACACAGTATGAGTACAAGGTGTCTGACAACATTGTCACCCATCACTCCTAACCCATCCCTTCTCTCACTTTTTTAAAAAATTGATATTAGGTGATTTACAGAAATTTCACATATTTCACAGTATTGTGGAATAGTGATACTTAGTTAAAGTGACAGACACATTTTAACCTTCACAAGGCAAATTGTCATTATTGTGGTCTATAAAGTTTGTGAATTCTATGAGGTTTGACAATACAAATTATTTCTTCCCCATCAGGTGATGATTACATTTGTTTCCTTTTGCTTAGTGTAGGCTGTTCCCTCTTTCCCTCTCATTCCTCCCTTCCCATCGCTGTCTTTGGGTTGCTTAGTTCTTTTTCTTCTATGTCCAGTGCAGCTGATCGGCCCCTTTGTTGTATGTTGTTCCTTTTCCCACTTACTCTGTTCCTCCTTCTGGCTTTTGTTGTATGCATATATCTACCATATATATGGTCAAGAACATGGAGTCATTTATCAATGATAGGACAAAGTGGGTGGCTGTCCTTTGTTTCCTGAGTCCTATTTACTTTGTCATATCTTCTTACATTTTGGCTTTAGCATCCACATATCAGGGAGACCATGTGCCATTTGTCTCTTTGTTCTTGGCTTACTTCACTCAAAATAATCTAGTTCCATCCATTTCCCTGCAAATGCATTATTTTGTCCTTTCTAATGGCTGCATAATATTCCATTGTATATAGATACCACAATTTTTGGATCCACTCATCAGTAGTGGGGCATCTGGGTTGTTTCCAAATCTTGGCTTTTGTGAACAGTGCTGCAATGAACATGGAGTTGTGTGTGTCTTTGTATACTGCTTCCTGTTGTTTAGGGTAGATGCCTAGGAGTGGTACGGCTGGGTAATAGGTAATAGCCTTAGCTTTTTTTGCTTAAGGCTAGTACTCTTCCACTTGAGCCACAGTTTCGCTTTCTGTATCTGAAGTTTTGGGGAGCACTGCTTACAAATGGAATGCAAGGCTGAATATGTTTTTCTGTTCCAGTGCCAGTGCTGTTGTGTTGCTATACTTTACTAACGTTGATGTTGTTCTAGCCGCAGATTCCTATACATCATCAATCTGGATGCTCCTTTCGAAGGTCACCGGAAAATCTCTCGTCAGAGCAAGTGGGACATTGGAGCTGTACAGTGGAATCCTCATGATAGCTTTGCACATTACTTTGCAGCTTCAGTGAGTTCATTTAGGGAATGTCATCTTTTGTGTGTGTGTGTGTGAGTGTGTATGTATGTGTGTGTACGCGCGCGCGCGCGCGCGCACGCGCGTGTGTGCACGCATGCCAGACCTGGGGCTTAAACTCAGGGCCTGGGCGCTGTCCTTGGCTGTTTTTGCTCAAGGCTAGTGTTTTACCATTTGAGTCACAGCTCCATTTCTGGCTTTTTTGGTGCTTAATTGGAGAGTAGTCATTTGGTGCCTAATTGGCAATATGTGTCACAGACTTTGCCTTCATCTTTTTTCCCTCTAGATCAAGTAGAGATTTCACTGTTTTGCTCTTTGTCCTGGGCTACCAGAAAGACTCTTACTAATCTCGGGTTTGGCCATTCTGTGTGCTGGACTGCTCTTGTCAGGACTGACAGTCTGAGCTAGTAGAGCATTTTGAGCAAAGGAAGAAGAGTCACCTTGTCAGCTTGAGAAGAAAGAAAAACTCTTCCCAGTCATTCCAAAACAGACTGTGACTTAACCTGTGAATGTCTGAAGTTGAACAGATTTTCAGGACTATTCTGAAAGAGATGGGAGAGTCAGTCTACTGCTTTTTCATTCTTGGCCTCTTCCCTGAGTGCTGGAATGCTCTGTTGGCTTCTACCTCTGGGCCCTTTAGCTCCCTTCCCCCCTTCAGCCCCTGTCCAGGGTTTCTCAGCCTTGACATTATCGACATGTTTGGCCAGATAACTGGTACACCCTTCCTATGCAATATAACAACCTACTGGGTTCCTATCAGAATGTTTTTTTTTTTGGGGGGGGGGTCTGGTCATGGGGCCTGAACTCTGGGCCTGGGCACTGTCCCTCAGCTCTTCAGTTCAAGGCTAGCCTCTTGAGCTCTACCACTTGAGCCACAGCACCACTTCCGGCTTTTTTTTCCTTTTTTCTTATGTGGTGCTGAGGAATCGAACTCAGGGCCTCAGGCATGCAAGGCAAGTGCTGTACCACTGAGCCACCTTCCCAGCCCAGAATGTCATTTTTTTTATGACTAAAAATATTTCATATCTATATATCTATATCTATATATATCTATACATACATATGAATTATAGCATATATATCTATACATATGTATATATAGATATAAATATATGCTATAATTCATAAGTTCAATATATGTATTGTGAATAGGGCTGATCTGAACACGTGTGTGGCTAGATATATACCTAGTGGTAGAATTGCAGTCTATGGTAATTCTATAGCTTAACTTTTTTTTTTTTTTTTGTGCCAGTACTGGGGCTTGAACTCAAGGCCTAAGTACTGTCCCTGGGCTTCTTTTGATCAAAGCTAGCACTCTACCACTTGAAACACAATGCCACTTCTGGCTTTTTCTGTTTTTGTGGTACTGAGGAATCGAACCCAGGGCTTCACACATGCTAGGCAAGCACTCCACTACTAAGCCACATTCCCAGCCCCTGGCTTAACTTTTTGAGTGAACGAGCAAATTGTTTTCCACAATTTTGTCTTGTCTTTTCTTTCTTTCTTCCTCCCTCCCTCCCTCCTTCCCCCTCTCTCTCTCTCCCTTCCTTCCTTCCTTCCTTCCTTCCTTCCTCCCTTCCTCCCTTCCTCCCTTCCTTCCTTCCTTCCTTCCTTCCTTCCTCTCTCTCTCTTTCTTTCTTTTTCTCTCTCTCTCTCTCTCTTTCTCTCTCTTTCTTTCTTTCTCTGCTTCTGGGGCTTGAACTCTGGGCTTGTGAACTATCCCTGAGCTTCCTTTACTCAAGGTGAGCACTCTACCACTTGAGCCACAGTGTAACTTCTGGCTTTTTTGAGTAGTTTATTAGAGATAAAAGATGAGGACTGGGGCTGGGAAGGTGGCTCAGTGGTAAAGTCCTTGCCTTGCAAGTACATGAAGCCCTCGGTTCGATTCCTCAGCACCACATAAGCAGAAAAAGCCGGAAGTGGGGCTGAGGCTCAAGTGGTAGAGCGCTAGTCTACAGCTGAAGAGCTGAGGGACAGAGTCCAGAGTTCAGGCCCCATGACTGACAAAAAAAAAAAAAAGATGAGGACTTATCTGCCCAGGCTGGCTTTGAACTGCAACCCTCAGATCTCAGCCTCCTGAGTAGCTAGGATTACAAGGGTGAGCCACCAGTGCTCAGCCAATTTTATATTTTTATCAGCAATGCATAAAGGTTCCAGTTTCTTTTTACATTCTCAGTATTTGCTGTTTATTGTGTGTGTGTTTATAAATTTAAATGATAAATAATTGGTATGCTGTGGTACCTTGTTTTGGATTTGGTTTACATATCTTTTATGATTAATACTGTTGAGCTTCTTTTTCTGTGTCTGTTGGCTATTTCTATGTTCTTTTTTCTTTTTCTTTTCTTTTTTTTTCTTTTTGGCCGACCAGGTCCTCTTCTGGATTTCTGGTGGTTAATTGGACTTAAGAGTCTCATGGATGTTACTGACAGGGCTGGTTTGGAACTATGATCCTCAGATCTCAATCTTTCGATTAGTTAGGATTAAAAGTGTGCCACCAGGGCCCATCTCTATGTGCTCTTTTGGTGAATCTTGGCCCTTTTATTTTTGGTGATATAGGACCTAGGCTTGATACCCTACCACTGAGCTACACCTTTAGCTCAATAATTCTTTTATATATTCTGTATACTAGACCATCTTCAACTCTTTTTTTTTTTTTTTTGTCAGTCATGGGGCTTGAACTCTGGGCCTGGGTGCTATCCCTCAGCTCTTCAGCCCAATGCTAGAGCTCTACTACTTGAGCCACAGCACCACTTCTGGTTTTCTGAGTCGTTTATTGGAGATAAGAGTCTCACAGACTTTCCTGCCCAGGCTGGCTTTGATCTGCGATCCTCAGTTCTCAGCCTCCTGAGTAGCTAGGATTACAGGCCATACCTCATTATCTGTTTCTTGAGATTATTGTTTAATTTATAAGAGTTTTAGTTTTGAGGAAGTTCAATTTTTCTGAGTTTTTCCCCCCTTATGTTCTTGGTTGGAAGGCAGCCTTTTCGTAGGAAAAAGAGCTGTGGAGTTAGGTAAACTTGAGGAGTTAGGTAAGTATGAGATCAAATTCTAGCTGAACACTCAATAACGCTCTTTCATCGTGAACAAATCACTCAACATTTTGAACTTTCATTGCTTCATCTGTAATGTGAATGATGCCATGCACTATTCAGAGTGATGGGAAAGGGCCAGAGGTCAGATTGCTTAGGTGTCTCACACTGCCACTAGCAGTGTGGACTGCCCCTACTGACCCTGTGGAAATGGTAGGTAATGTTATAAGAAGATAAGGAACTTTTTTTTTTTTTTATTCTGTTCCTATAGGAAGCTATTCTCAATCTTAACCTTTTCAAGAACTTCATCTGTTTAGACTTGGAAACTAGTATTTTAGAATAAAAAACTTAGAACCTTATAGATCAAGCTATCTTTGAGCTAAAATAAAAATAAAGCTAATGTGTGTGTGTGTGTGTGTGTGTGTGTGTGTATACATATGGATTCAAAAATAACTAAACATCATGTTATTGTTGTCAGTTTTTGGTTTTGTTTTGTTTATTGGTTATAGGATTTGAACTCAGGGCTTAAAGGTAGCACTCTACGACTGAGCCACATCTCTACTTTCAGTTTTCTGATGTTTAATTTAATTGGAGATAAGAGTCTCGTGGACTTTCCTGCCCAGGGTGGCTTTGAACTCTGATCCTCAGATCTCAGCCTCCTACGTAGCTGGGATTATAATCATGAGCCAGGCTGTTTCAGCTAATTAGTAATTTTTATATACTTTTCAGTGTTTCTTAAGCATGATATTTAGAGATATTTAGCTGTTTTTTTTTAAAAGTAAAATGTGATTTTATGGAGTCTTTATTTTTTTTCTTCCTTTTTCCTGTAATAGTTTTTTTGTGTGTATGTGTGTTTCATTTTTCCTTTTCTTTTTCTCTTTCAGTCCTTTGATACAGTCTGGTGAGGTAATTCACACCTTTAATCCTAGCTACTTGGGAAATTGAGATTGGGAGAATCATGATTCAAGGCCAGCCTGGGCAAAAAGTTTGTGAGACCCTATCTCAATAAAACAACAGCAACAACAAAAGCCTGGTTGTAATGACATGCATCTGTCATCCCACCTATGCAGAAAAAATAAATAGGATGTTTGCAATTCAGGCTAACCTGGGCAAAAAGTGAGAATCTTCTTGAAAAATAACCAGAGTAAAAAGGGCTAGGGCTATGGCTCAAGTGGTAGAGTACTTGATTGACAAGCATAAGGTCTTGAGTTCAAACCCCAATACTGACAAAAGGAAGGAAGGAAGAAAGAAAGAAAAATTTGATACAGGCATATTTAAAGGACTCTTGTGTAATTTTGCCTTCTTTGACACTTTTTGGTGCTCTTTCTTTCTTCCTTCCTTCCTTCCTTCCTTCCTTCCTTCCTTCCTTCCTTTCTTTCTTCCTTTCATTGTGGGGCTTGAATTCTGGGCTTGGGCTCTGTCCCTTAGCTCTTCAGCTCAAGGCTAGTGCTCTACCACTTGACCACAGCACCACTTCCAGTTTTTGAGTGGTTTATTGGAGATAAGACTCTCATGCCTGGGTTGGCTTTGAACTGTGATCCTCAGAACTCAGCTTCCTAAGTAGCTAGGATTACAGATGTGAGCCAGTGGCACCAGGCTAATATAATCATAAAATATTTATTTATTTATTTGGTCGTGGAGCTTGAACTCTGGGCCTGGGCGCTGTCCCTCAGCTCCTCAGCTCTTTTTTTTTGTTTGTTTCTTGTGTATATGTATTTTAAAAATGTTGGTGGATAGACTCTGGGCATTGGATTCTGGGAAGGGTAAGCCGAAAACATTCAGTGTGACAGCAGGAGAATTGAGGGGTGATCTCCAGTGAGGGGATGAGATTACTCTAATGGTCAGGGACATCTCTGGAGCTGTAGGTCAGCTGTGACTGTTCAAGATGGATTCCTTGGAAGATAACACTGCTGTTTCACTTGAAACTTATAACCCTGAACACTGGGCTAAAGCCATTTTGATTATAAGATTTCAGATAGCTATTTGAAGAGTTCAGCATGTAGGATCTCTGCCATACACAGTGGCTTCCCCTCCTTTTGCTGTAAGCAATTGAGGATGAGAGCATACATTCCAGTGTGCGTGCTATGTTATCACTATCTTCTCCCTCTGGTTTCTTTTCAGAGTAACCAACGTGTTGACCTTTATAAGTGGAAAGATGGCAGTGGAGAAGTCGGCACAACCTTACAGGGCCATACTCGGGTAATCAGGTAGGCATCAGCCTTCCACAGCTCCTCAACCTGTGTCGCTTTGTTCCAGTCATTTGTTAAAATGAAGATGCCACCCTCTTTGCAAGACTTGATCCTCTCTGTGTTGCCCTGGCTCTGAGTGGCCAACGGTCCTTAATGTTTTCCAAGGTAATCCAGGGTTCCTGTGCTTGGCTCTGATTTAGTAAATGATTACTTTGTGTGTTTTTCTTTTCTTTTGACTGTTTTTGTCTGTTGGAGTGGGAAAGGGAGGAAGGGAGACTGCATGCATTAAGTTGAAATGTTTCATTTCTATCTCGGGAGCAGGTGATAGTGTCCATGGCAACCAAAGGAGGACCTGAAAACTTTCTGAATTCAGTTTACTCTTGTTTAATACCAAGGAACTTTGGAATTCCCCATCCTGAACCATGTCATGTTTAAGTCAGTAGAGACTAGATTTGCTAATGCTTTGGAGCCAGACATGAAGTTGTTTTTCTTATCTTTATTCTGTATTTCTTCTGTCCCAGCGACTTGGACTGGGCGGTGTTTGAGCCTGATCTCCTAGTCACCAGCTCGGTGGACACCTACATCTACATTTGGGATATCAAGTAAGAGCAATGGAAAGCTACAGCCACTTTGTGGCATGATTTGGGACCTTTGTTTTAGATAGTAAGTATCTTATTTGGTTTCCTCAAGGTGTAGATCCTGAGACAAGGGTTTGAATACAAATATATTATGTTCTCAAGAGGTGCTGGTAGGGGATGGAGATGACAGGCAAATCAGGAGGGCTAAAAAGGGACACAGTTCTTCTCAGGTTCCAGAACTCCATCTTCCTGGGGAGCACCAGGTGTTGGTGCAAAACACCCTCCTCAAAGGAAATGGACTCATAGCCTGACTCACGTAATTACAATCCCTCTGTACATCACCTCTATAATAACAATAAACTAGTAACACTCAGAGGTGTCTCACTCCAGGCCAGGGCCGTAGTTATTGATGGCTACTTCCCCAAGCTCATCAGACCCATCAGAGTTCTGTAAAGCAGGCTCCAAGACCAGGGAGATCTCACTGGCAAAGTAATACAGGTGCTGGCATTTGGAAGAGGAGCTAGAGTTTAGTGATGTGCTAAATGACAGTGATAGATTTGGATGAGGCACAGACACACATCTATAGCAGGCAGGGCTGAGATACCTGCTTGGCTCTTTATGGCTCTTTGTGAGGCTTTGGTTCCCAGCTGTCAAAGGGGTGCTAATGGCTGCCTCACGGGGCTGCTCCGCCTGGACTAACAAGTAAAGAACTCCTGATCCCAGCTGGGCCTGTCAGCATTTCCTTTGCCATATGGTTAGAGCCGTCTGCTCTGAGGGGCATCTGTATAGTCTCTTAGACCGGATCTCTTCCCCCGCCACATCACTCTTCTTCCCTCCTATCAGTGATTTCATCTGGAAAGCTGGGACAGGGCAGAAGACAATCCAGGTATGGAGATGGAACAGACAAGCCAGACCAGCGAAGGGGTTTTTAAGGAGTAATGGGTGTGTGGCTGACTTGACCAGGAGTTAGGACAGGTCAGCAGTAAGGCCTATTGGTCAAGTCTGTCCCCAGAGAAGTCTGGAACCCAGGTGAAATGGAAGAGGAAACTCTTAAGCAAGTTATCAGGCCGTTATGAATGCATTAAAGAGCGTCCTTCATTTACATGAAATGAGTATTTTATCATGTAAGGCATTGAACTGACATTCTTTCTCAGGCTAAGGCAGAGCCATGGAATTGCCTTACCTACCTAGGGTGAATGAAAGAACTTTTTTCTCCAAAAATTTTCTTTTGTATTTAGAGTGGTTCTTTTTTAAAATTGTAGTGAAAAACACATGCCAAAAAAGTTACTATCAATCATCTTTTCTTCTTCTTCTTTTTTTTTTTTTTGCTTATGTGGTTGAGGAATCGAACCCAGGGCCTCAGGCATGCAAGGCAAGTGCTCTCTCACTGAGTCACCTTCCCAGCCCTCTTCTTTTTTTTTTTTTGTCAGTCCTGGGGTTTGAACCTTGGGCCTGAGCACTGTCCCTGCGCTCTTCAGCTCAAGGCTAGCGCTCTACCAGTTGAGCCACACTGCCATTTCTGGTTTTTCTGGTGGTTTATTGGAGATAAGATCTCATGGAGCAGGGCGCCGGTGGCTCATGCCTGTAATCCTAGCTACTCAGGAGGCTGAGATCTGAGGATCACAGTTCAAAGCCAGCCTAGGCAGGAAAGTCTGAAACTCTTATCTCAGATAAACCACCAGAAAAACTGGAAGTGGCGCTGTAGCTCAAGTGGTAGAGCGTTTTCCTTGAGCTGAAGAGATGAGGGACAGCGCTCAGGCCCAGAGTTCAAGGCCCACGACCAACCAAAAAAAAAAAAAAGATCTCATGGACTTTGCTGAGGCTGGCTTCAAACTGTGATCCTCAGATCTGAACCCCCTGAGTAGCTAGGATTACAGATGTGAGCCACCGGAGCCCAGCTCTTTTTTGGGGGGAGGGGGAGGGGCTCCGGTTGTGGGGCCTGAACTCTGGGCCTGGGTGCTGTCCTTCAGTTCTTCAGCTCAAGGCTAGCGCTCTACCACTTGAGCCACAGCGCCACTTCCGGTTTTTTTCTTATGTGGTGCTGAGAGGAATCGAACCCAGGGCCTCATGCATGCAAGGCAAGCGCTCTACCACTGAGCCACCTTCCCAGCCCCTTTTTTTTTTTTTAAAAGGACCAATTCTGTCTCATAATCTAGTTTCCTTTTAGAAAGTCTTCATCTTGAGAAACTGAAACTCTAAAGCCATTCAATACTTCATTTCTTTCTTCCCCATCTCTGACAATCATCATTCTGTTTTCTGTTTTAGTGACTTTGGCCACAGTAACTGTCTCATATAGGTAGAACCATACAATATTTATTTATATTTATTTATTTTTTATTTTATTTTATTTTTATTTTTTATTTTTTAGGTCCGGTCATGGGTCCTGAACGTCTGGTCATGGGTCCTGAACTCTGGGCCTGGGCGCTGTCCCTGAGCTCTTCAGCTCAAGGCTAGCACTCTATCACTTGAGCCACAGTGCCACTTCTGGCTTTTTTCTTTTTGCTTATGTGGTGCCGAGGAATCGAACCCAGGGCCTCAGGCATGCAAGGCAAGTGCTCTACTACTGAGCCACCTTCCCAGCCCTTATATTTATTTTTGTTGGTCGTGGGGCTTGAACTTTGGGCTTGGGCATTGGCCCTCAGCTCTTCAGCTCAAGGCTAGCACTCTACCACTTGAGCCACAGCGCCACTTCCGGTTTTCTAGTGGTTTATTGGAGATAAAAGTCTCACGGACTTTCCTGCCCGGGCTGGCTTTGAACCTTGATCCTCAGATCTCAGCCTCCTGAGTAGCTAGGATTATAGGCGTGAGCCACCATCACCCGGCTCGTGACCAATTTCATTTAGAAGAATGTCCTTAAAAGTTCTTCCATGTTGTCAAGTATGTCAGAATTTCTTTCCTTTTTTAAAAAAATGAATAGTACTTCATTTTAAGAATATACCACAGCTGGGTGTTGGTGACTCATGCCTGTAATCCTAGCTACCTAGCAGGCTGAGATCTGAGGATCGTGGTTCAAAGCCAGCTTGGGCAGGAAAGTCCGTTAGACTCTTATCTCCAATAAACCACTAGAAAACCGGAAGTGGCACAGTGGCGTTGTGGCGCAAGCAGTAGAGCACTCGCCTTGAGCTGAAGAGTGCAAAGATAGCGCCAAGCCCAGAGTTCAAGCCCCATGATCAAATAAATAAATAAATAAATACATAAAATATATATATACACACCACATTTTATTTACTTTCATTTATTGCTTCTGCTGCTTGGCCGTTGGGAATATTTAGAGTAGTTTTCTTCTTTCTTCCTGTTTTTTTAGTGCTGAGGATTAAACTTGGGACCTTATCCATGATATCACTCTACCACTGTACTTTCACCTCAGTTCCCAGAGTAGTACTTTAATCTACTTTTGAAATGCCATTAAAAATGTTCTTGCAGCTATACTTTTATGACCCACCCTGCTCAATTGTGAAATCTGTGTGGATTTATTTAGCTGTATGATCTGAAATTCAGATGTGGCTTCAATTAAAATTATTAAGAAAGTTCATCTACCTTGAGAAAAACATGTCTCTCTGTATACTTTTCTTCTCTTTGTGTGTGTGTGTGTGTGTGTGTGTGTGTGTGTGTGTGTGTGTGTGTATGTGTGTGTGTGTGTGTGTCCCCGTGTCCTGGGGGTTGAATGCTGGGCCTTGGTGCTATCCCTAATCTGCTTTTGCTCAAAGCTAGCGCTCTCCTACTTCTGGCTTTTTTGGTGGTTAATAGGAGAGAAGAGTGTCTCACAGACTTTTCTGTCCAGGCTGGCTTTGAACCTCACTCCCCAGATCTCAGCCTCTTGAGTAGTTAGGATTATATGCATAAGCCACCAGCACCAGGCTATATTTCTTTTTAAGTCCTTCAAAGCAGATACAACTCTTAAGTTCCCGTTGAGAGGAAAGTAAAGGAATGTGTGCGAAAGGGTAAAAAAGCACCAGGGGGCTGATAGCATATGAATTGGACATGTGACCTCCAATTTTTATATTTCAGGGATACCAGGAAACCTACTGTTGCATTATCTGCTGTAGGTAAGTGTCCATCTCTGCTTGTCTTCATTTTACTCCTTTCTGTTCCATTCTATTCAGTTCCATTCCTTCTCTCACTCTGACCACTTATAACTGGAGGTGGGATAGAAGGTCCTGCATTGTAAAGTGCTTGCATCAGGTTAACTCTGACTCTACCCTGAGGTTATAACTTGCCTTCTGTGCTTCAGTCAGCTTCAGCCATCATAATCATCATATAGCCAATCTCTTTCCATCTTTCCCCTGACCCATTTCCCTCTCCTATTTGAAGTAAAACCTGGGTATTATGCCATTTCTTCAATATTTTGAAGTAAAACCTGGGTATTATACCATTTATTCAATAAATGTTGGTGTAATTTTACAAAAGAAGAAAACTTTTACAAAAGAAAACCATAATAGTATTAATATATCTAGTTAATAATGGTTTTTCAATATTGTGAAATATCTAAGAAATAGTCAGATTTCCCCAATAGTCTGTTTCTGTGTCTATCTCTGTCTCTTTTCTTTTCTTTTTGCTAGTCTTAGGGCTTGAACTCAGGGCCTGAGTGCTGTACCTGAGCCTCTTTGTGCTCAAAGGCTAGTGCACTACTACTTGAATCACAGTGCCACTTCCAGCTTTTTGAGTAGTTTATTGGAGATAAGTGTCTCACAGGGACTTTTCTGCCAAGCTGGCTTCGAAGAATGATCCTCAGATCTCACTCTCCTGAGAAGTAGGATTATAGGCATGAGCCACTGATATCCGACTCTGTCTCTCTCTCTCTCTTTCTTTCTTTCTTTTTTTTTTTTGTCAGTCATGGGGCTTGAACTCTGGGCCTGAGCACTAGCTCTCAGCTCTTCAGCTCAAGGCTAGCGCTCTACCACTTGAGCTACAGCGCCACTTCCAGTTTTCTGGTGGTTTATTGGAGATAGGAGTCTCACTGTCTTTCCTGCCTGGGCTGGCTTTGAACCTCGATCCTCAGATCTCAATCTCCTGAGTAGCTAGGATTACAGGCGTGAGCTACCATGCCCAACCTGTCTCTCTCTTTTATTTTCATTTTTTGTGATGGTGAGGATCAAACTCAGGACTTCATGAATACTAAGCACAGGGTCTACTACTGAGCTATATCCCTAGCCCATTTCTCTCTCTCTAAATTGATGCTTATACATCAATTGATGTTTCTAACTTAGATTGGTTTTAGAGAAACCTTCAAAAAGGAGACAATTCTCTTTTTTTAGCCCACCTGTTCTGATAGCTTTTTTTGTGTGTTATGGGTCCTGCTTAAAAAAAAAAAAATAGAAAAAAGGTATAAAAAAAAGGTATAGTCAGTATCTTTTCTTTTTGCCCCTCAGTGAGATTTCTTAGTGGTGCCAGAACTACCCTGGGAGAAAACAGTTCACATGAGAGGCTTGTTAACCTTTATACACCACTTAATCTAACATTCCCTGAGAGCTGCACCTTGGATACTGTCTGTTTCCCAGAGTCTAAGGTCTCACCTGACAGTGAGCACATTGTTTATGCCTCTGGGGAGAGAGTCAATAGGAGCATATCTGTATGTGCTTCAGAGTGTTCTCTGGGTCAGGGCTCTTTCAGCCTGGGGCCTGTACGTGACCCTGCTGTCACAATCCTAGTAAGACAGGTTGGATTAGAGGGTCTCAGAAACCCTTGGGAGCCTTTCTGTTCTGATGATCCTCCTACTGGAAAACATGCTGGAACTGCTTGGAACTCTATGTAATTGTCCAAAAGAGGTGGAGCAAGCTCTTCATAATGTTTCTCCTCTAGCGGATGTCCTTCTTGCAAAGAAACTGAGTCTCCTAAGTAATACATAACCTGGATTTATCCTCAGTGATCTGCTTTTATTCTTATTATAAAGAAATGATAAATGATTAAGCACATGGAAATGTTGATTACCAAGATTTAATCACTATGCATGAATTGAATTTTTATACTGTACCCCATAAATATGTACAGTTTAAAGAAAGTACTTTTTTTTTTGGTTGGTCATGGGGCTTGAACTCTGGGCTTGGAAGCTGTCCCTCAGCTCTTCAGCTCAAGACGAACATTCTGCCACTTGAGCCACAGCACCACTCCTGGTTTTCTGGTGGTTAATTGGAGATAAGGAGTTTCACAGATTTTGCTGCCCAGGCTGGCTTTGAACCTCAATCCTGAGATCTCAGCCTCCTGAGTAGCTAGGATTACAGGCATGAAACACCAGTGGCTGGCAGAAAGTACTTGTTCAGGTGGTGCACACCTGAAATCCCAGCACTGAGTAGAAGTATGTGAGGCCAGCCTGGGATATAGAGCAAGTTTAAGGCCAGTGTGGACTATACAGAAGACCCTGCCTCAAATAAGCAAACAAACAGACATTGGTGGGGGTAGGGTTTGGATAAAAGGGTGGATGATGAGGGAAGAAAGGAAAAGGAAAACTAAGATAAATGAAAGCCATTAACAAACTCAAAACTTTCTTTTGGGCAAAGGACAAGTTCTGGGCCTGAGTTTTCTGTTAGATTTGGAGGCCTTGGTCTATCACATATCTTAGAGGAAGTTGCTTCCGAAGCCTTGCATTTACACCAGCCAGAGCAAAAGGTGACAAAGTTGTAGCAGTAACAGAAACCAGCAGTTTGGGGTTGGTTTAATTTGACTTATTTCTTACGAGCCAGCTGAACATGGCACTGTATTCCAGTTTCTCCGTGTCTCAGCCCTTTCCTCCTCCTGTCTTAGGTAGCTCTGTGCCTTTCTGGATTGGCACTGAGGAAAAAGGACTTGGAGTTTACATTGTCTGACACTGCAAACAGTGGAGCCCATTGAGCCAGTGGCCACATCAAACTGTAGTGGTAGATAGAGTTGGTGCAGTCATAGAAAACTGGAAGGTTCTAGAGCTCATGATGCAACTGCTGTGGAGGTGCTTCCCTCTGCTGCTGAAAGCACTGAAGGAAGCAGCTTTCTTCCCTTGGTTTTTCTTTGTAGCTGGTGCTTCCCAGGTCAAATGGAATAAAAAAAATGCCAATTGCCTTGCCACCAGCCATGACGGTGATGTTCGGATATGGGATAAGCGGGTGAGTGAACATTTTTCCCCCTGAGTGTAATTCATTTTTGTCCTTCTAATTAGTCCTCCATTCTTGATGGTCTGTTTGGCTTAGATAGAACAGTACTTGTAAAAGGTAGAAATAGTACCTGACAGTATTTTGTATCCCCTCAGTACCCATCAGACTATTCTGTGATGGGCCCTCAGTCAAGTTCTTTTGAAACTGACAAACTCAGGGCCAAATCTCTTGCAGAAACCCAGCACAGCAGTGGAATATTTAGCAGCCCATCTCTCCAAAATCCATGGGCTGGACTGGCATCCAGATAGTGAGCACATTCTTGCTACTTCCAGTCAAGACAACTCTGTCAAGGTGAGTGGCACCCGTTGGGGCAGTTAAAGAAGCTGTTTTGGGCGGGATGGGGGGGTTGTTTAGCACATGGGAGGGAAAGCTATAGAGAGCTAGCATCCTCTGTTTCGTGGGAGCATGCACCTCATGGGAAGCTGAGTGAATAAAGTAAAACTGAGCAAGCTTTTTATTGACCAGCACAAGTGATGCTATGGCAGCTAACTTGTTTAAGTTTCCTTCCCTCTGTGACAGGAAGTCAGTGACAAAAGCATTTAGGAAGGAAAAGAAGTTTACTTGCAAGAAAGTCTGATAGACACATTGAGACCGAGTAGAAAAGAAAACCACCAAATTGCTTCAGTTACCAAGTTTTCTTTGGTCAGCTTATAATGGAAAAACGGCAGTTTTCTCATACGATTATCATATCTGCTAAAGTTAGGACCTCTTACACATTAGCATTGCAAAAGTTAGGCATAGAGTTGTTTTGCTAGGTATACTTTAACATCCCAGAAATGCTCAAGGTTTGATGTGTTTTGATGACCCTGTTGTTTTTGGTTTATCTCACAGTACAGTGTGTCTTGTTTCTTTGTCCTCTCTGATTGTGGCATATTCTGTTACCCTTGATCAGATTGGGAGCAGGGCAGGGCCACCTCTGTTCCACAGTTCCTTCTGTGTCCCATAAAGACAGGGACTTCACTGTAGAAGTTGGCTTAGCAGGTTTATAACAGCATTAAATTAATATTTAATGCTTTATTGTATTCATATATATATATGTTATACACCATTTGTTGGTTAATAGAACTAGAGTCATGCATAAGACTTAAAGGTTCTGTTTTGGGCTGGGAATGTAGCTTACTGGTAGAGTGCTTGCCTAGCATGCATGAAGCAATAGGTTCAATTCCTCAGTAGCACATAAACAGAAAAAGCCAGAAGTGGTGCTGTAGCCAAGTGGTAGAGTGCTAGCCTTGAGCAAAAGAAGCTTAGGGACAGTGCCCAGGTCCTGAGTTCAAAGCCTCAGGTGCAGCGGAACGAAGGAAGGGAGGGAGGGAGGGAGGGAAGGAAGGAAGGAAGGAAGGGAAAAAAACTAAAATGATTCAAATAAATTACAACCCCAAGGGGTTTATAAACATCAAGACAGAGCCTTTTTTTTTTTTTTTTTTGGCCAGTCCTGGGGCTTGAACTCAGGGCTTGGGCACTGCCCCTGAGCCTCTCTGTGCTCAAGGCTAGTTCTCTACCACTTGAGCTACAGCACCACTTCCAGCTTTTTTTTTTTTTTTTTTTTTGCCAGTCCTGGCCTTTGAACTCAGGGCCTAGGCATTGTCTCTGAGCTTCTTTTGCTCAAGGTTAGCACTCTACCACTTGAGCCACAGCTCCATTTCCAGTTTTTTCTGTTTATGTGGTACTCAGGAATTGAACCTAGGCTTCATGCATGCTAGGGAAGCACTCGACCACTAAGCCACATTCCCTGCCTCCAGATTTCTTGTTTTGTTTTTGTTTTTTTTGGGGGTCTGGTTGTGGGGCCTGAACTCTGGGCCTGGGCACTGTCCCTCAGCTCTTCAGCTCAAGGCTAGGACTCTACCACTTGAGCCACAGTACCACTTCCGGCTTTTTTTCTTTTTGCTTATGTGGTGCTGAGGAATTGAACCCAGGGCCTCAGGCATGCAAGGCAAGTGCTCTACCACTGAGTCACCTTCCCAGCCCTTGTTTTGTTTTTTTGGAAGTTTATTGGAGATAAGAGTCTCATGGGCTTCCCTGCCTGGGCTGGCTTTGAACTGTGACCCTCAGATCTCAGTCTCCTATGTAGGTATGATTACAGGCATGAGCCACTAGCACCTGGGTTGTGTGTGCATGCATGTGCGAGTGTGCCGATACAAAGACTTGAACTCAGGGCCTGTGTGCTATCTCTTAGCTTTTTCACTCAAGGTTGGTGTTGTGCTTGAGCCACAGCTCCGCTTAAGGCATTTTGCTGGTTAATTGGAGAAGAGTCTTACATTTTCCTGCCCAGTATGGCTTTGAATCTCAATCATCAGATCTCAGCCTCTTGAGTAGTTAGGATTTCTGGCGTGAACCACTAATGCCCAGCTTAGTAGTTTTTGTTCTTAATCTTTTACTGTTTGTAATTTACTTTTATGTGTCAGAAGTGGTTTGTTTTTATTTTATTTATTACACTTGAGTTTTGTCTCATATCCCAGTAAGCTTATCTATCAAGTTCAGGAACCAGAAACCATCCAGTCCTTCATTTAAAAAAGAGATAAAATAGCATCTGCTATATGTTTGTTGTAAAGATTAAGTGAGATTAAAACACCTTAAAGTTGTAAAGGTGTGCATGTCTGAATGCAGTAAGTAGGGCATTTCATAGCTTGTCATTACATTACTTGCTTGATGTAAAAATAATGCAAGATCAAAGCCTGATTCACTCACCTTTCAGCTGCAGCAGAAGTTCCCTGGCAGGGAACAGTGATCTGCCCTGATTGGTGGTGCTCGTGAAGTCTAGAAATCTTACTGTAATGTTTATAGATGTGTACAGAATGATTCTTCCTGTCGCACAGTAGCATAGTTAGGGAAATGAAGCTACAAAATACACTATTGGAATTTTCTTTGGAGAAACAAAAAGCAATGCATTCAAAGACTATGCCTATTTCAATAGCCAAGTTCTAAAAAAATAGTGTTTATTTCATAAGTTATCTTTTTTTTTTTCCCCTTGTAGTTCTGGGATTACCGCCAGCCCCGGAAATACCTCAATATTCTCCCTTGTCAGGTACCTGTCTGGAAGGCCAGATACACGGTGAGTGACATATACTACCTTAGTGTTCCAGACACAAGGGGCAAAAGGGGACTTGTTCTCTCTCTCTCTCTCTCTTTTTCTCTGTCTCTGTCCCTCTTTCTCTCTCTCTCTCTCATTTATTTATTTGTTTATTTTTGGCCAGTACTGGGGTTTGAACCTCAGGCCTCATCCTGGCTTGGCTTGGCTTGTTTATTCATTTGGCTGGCACTCTGTCACCTGAGCCATGCCTCCGGCCCAGCTTTTTACTGTTTTTGTTGTTGTTGTTGTTTGGTTTTAGATTGTATCGCCATAAAAAAATCAGCCCTGCCCTGCTTGGGCTGGTTGTGAACTATGATTCTCTGAGCAGCTAGGATTATAGGCATAAGCTGCCAATACTTAGCCTCTCTTATTTTCTTTCTTAGTGAGGCACTTTTTCTGTCTTGGTGTGAGGCACAGCAAATATGGTAATGCCTTTTACCGCTTAAAAATTTACCTGGAGTGCTGGGCAGATCTCAGCATTAGAATTAGTGACTATAGCTGGTACCCCCCAGGGGTAGTACAGCAGGTTAGGATGGTGGAGAAAGTAGACGCTGGAAGCTAATGAAGTATGATAGAAATAACTCTGGCTTCTGACTTAGGAGTGTGGTTTGGAGTTTGGGTCCAGCTCTGCCATTTATAAATGTGTGGCTTAAAATAAGCCACTTGATTTTGAGCAGAAATTTCATCATCTGCATAATACAGAGAGTAATTCCCACTCAGCCTTTCTTTTTTTCATTGTTGTGATAAAGGACACCGATTTTTTTGTTTTGTTTTTGTTTTTGCCAGTCATGGGTCTTGAACTCTGGGCCTGGGGGCTGTCCCTGAGCTTTTCAGCTTAAGACTAGCACTCTACCACTTGAGCCACAGTGCTACTTCCGCCTTTCTAATGGTTAATTGGTGATAAGAGCCTCACAGATTTTTCTGCTGGCTTTGAACTGTGATCCTCAGATTTCAGCCTCCTGAGTAGCTAGGATTACAGGTGTGAGCCACCAGCACCCAGCCAAAGGACACTGTTTTGAAATAGACAATTAAGTGGCATTTAGAACATCACAATCTGTTTTCCCTTTTAAATACCATGTATATAAATGTGCTTTGTAGGGCTGGGAAGGTGGCTCAGTGGTAGAGTGCTTGCCTTGCATGATGAGGCCTCAGCACCACATAAGCAGGGAAAAAAAGCTGGAAGTGGTGCTGTGGCTCAAGTGGTAGAGTGCTAGCCTTGAGCTGAAGAACTGAGGGACAGCCAGGCCCAGAGTTCAGGCCCCACGACCGGACCCCCCCCCCCCCAAAAAAAAATGTGCTTTGTAAACCATAAAATTCTACAGATAGAGAAGGTAGGCTATTATCTACCTTCCAGCCATTTTTCATGGCCACATTGATAGCTGCTAGTCAGAGACAATATGTTTCCTCTAATATCAATTTGAGAGCAAGCACAGGGTGAAGAAAGCTACCTTTATGCATTGGGCTGTCACACTGGGATGTTATGGAACAAAGAAGATAATTGGGCATTAAGTTGTTTCTGCATCTGGAATCACTTGCCAAGAAATTAAACACTGTTCTTATGAACTGACATATCTGAATTAATGTATTTGCTAAAAATAATACACTGAAAAGTCCAGGAGAGATACTGAAATGGAAGTTGAAGATAAGTAAATATATACTTAAGTGGCTATGGTTTATTCTGTAAATAACAGGACATAGGTATCAAAATGATGGATCCCTTAGCTCCCTGGAAGGTTGGAGATTGCTAAGTCCTGAGGTTACTACGTTTTCCCTGGTAGTGTGACACTGGGGTGGTGGAAAGGTGATATTTCATGTGGATCATATGCTTCTGGCCTCTCTGCATGGCAGGAATTTAATTGCTGCTCTTGGGAGAAGCTCTTGGGGTTCTCCCAAGAGCACCTAGTAGTGTAGAGTACACTCTACACTACTCTACACCTAGTTGTGTAGAGTGGTGTGACACTGGGATGGTGGAAAGGTGATATTTCATGTGGATCATATGCTTCTGGCCTCTCTGCATTATAATTGCTGCTCTTGGGGTTCCCCCAGTGAGCCTCATGTGCTCATTCTTCAGAGGGGGCTCATAGAGAGCAGCTAGGATGTGAAATATCAGTAAGAGCCATTGTAGAGCTTATTGTAGAATTTTCAAAGTTCTCCAAGGCTCAGCCTTGGAGTTTTTTTCACTTGCTGAGGTCTCTTCCCTCAGCTAAGTAAAGGCTAGATGCCATGGTCACCTTATTGTATCAGGGGAGATTTTCCCCAGATGGGGTGAGGTCTTTTATCATCTAATCTATTTCAATTAGTAAGAACAACAACTTTGGAAAAACTGATTTGCCTTGGAATAGTCAACTGCTTTCTCCTTTCTTGTCATAGCCATTTAGCAATGGGTTAGTGACTGTAATGGTTCCCCAGCTGCGGAGAGAAAACAGCCTGCTACTCTGGAATGTCTTTGACTTGAACACCCCAGTCCACACCTTTGTGGGGCATGATGATGTGGTGCTGGAGTTCCAGTGGAGAAGGCAGAAGGAAGGTGAGTGGAGAAGAAGGCTACTGTCTGATCTTCTGCGCTGTGGTGAACTGCTGTACCAGCCATGGGGCATATAGTAAGGAGGATGTATAACAAGGCTTGGAGACTGCCTTTAAATAAAGACACTATGTCCTTTCCCCACTTCCCTCCTCTGATTTCCTATGTATCTCTTTTTAGTAAGAGATCTACTGCAGTGAGATGTTGATAGAGACTTGAGAAAGACTCGAAATCAGAAATTCAGGGCGTTTTTCCCTTTCCTTTCTGTTGATGAAGGATGCCCATGGTGGTCATTAGTATGGTACACCACAAATTTTCAGCTGTCTTCACAAACACATAATGGTATTTTACTTCTCAAATCTTTTGAGGATGGTTTTGCCGTGTGACTTGCTTCGATGGTGGAACATGAGCAGGATTGAAATGTCAAGGCTTAGTGTGCAGTTACGGACTTTGCCTCTGTCACAGCAAATGTCAAGACTCTGGCTAGAGCTGCTGCCATAAGATCTTGCCATGAGGATGAGGTGTAGAGTAAGCAGGAATTTTTTTTTTTTTATTTGCCATTCCTGGGTCTTGAACTCAGGGCGTAGGCTCTGACCTTGAGCTTCTCTATGCTCAAGGCTAGTGCTCTACCACTTGAGCCGCAGCACCACTTCTGGCTTTTTCTGATTAGTTTATTGGAGGTAAGAGTTTCATGGACTTTTCCTGCCTAGGCTGACTTCAAACCATGATCCTTAGATCTCAGCCTCCTGAACAGCTTAAGGATTACAGGCATGAGCCACTGGTGCCCCACTAAACCAGGAAATTCTTGCATTAAGCTACTGAGATATTGGGGTTGTTTACTATTGTGGCTTAATCTAGTCAGCCCTCACTAATTCAGGGTCATAGAATAAAGAGAGTTAGAAAGTCCTTGGCCTTAATTTTTCCATCAGTTTACCTTTGTATCCTTACATGCAGTTTTTCTTTTCTTAACATCTTATTGTCATAATCTCTAATGTTCGACAGAGCAAAAGTATATTTCTTGATGTTTTCATATTACGGAAGGAAAACTTGGCAAGTGGAATAATGAAACTTGTCCCAAGTCCCAGAAAAAAATCTCTAGTGACCTGGGATTACAGTATCACCGCTTACCCCACTTGCAGTCATCTCCTATTGCTGTGGTACCCAAACTGGCCTCAAACACACAAATCCTCCTGTGTCAATCTCCTAAGTAACTGGGATTACAGTTGTGGCTGGCACCAGAATATTTCTAAAGAGACTAATGATCCTCATCATGGCTTTCTTATTCTTAGCTACAAAATCTGTTTTCAAAAACATCAGGCTGGGGCTGGGAAGGTGGCTCAGTGGTAGAGTGCTTGCCTTGCATGCATGAGGCCCTGGGTTCAATTCCTCAGCACCACATAAGCAGAAAAATCCAGAAGTGGTGCTGTGGCTCAAGTGGTAGAGTGCTAGCCTTGAGCTGAAGAGCTGAGGGACAGCGCCCAGGTCCAGAGTTCAGGCTCCACGACCAAAAAAAAACAACATCAGGCTGCTTTTTTTTTTTTATTCCACTAATGGTGTAAACGGCCTTTAGCTTTCAACTTGATCTATTGCACTTAGCCATAGAAAAGAAATTATATTGTGTATCTAGGCAACTGTAATTTTTGTAATAGAAAATTACATAGAATGTGTACAATTTCATAAAATTATAAGGTGATACTTTATGTAATTCCATAGTAAGGTCAGAAATAGAATAAATGTAAGGATCCCAGAAACTTTCTGACCACAATTATCTACTTCTATCTATCTATCTATCTATCTATCTATCTATCTATCTATCTATCTATCTATCTATCTATCTATCCATCTATCCATCCATCTATCCATCTATCTGTCTATCTATGAAGTACTAGGGATGAAAGCCAAGGCCTCATTAACAAGCAGTCTACTACCACTGAGTTATATCCCCACCCCAGGTTTGATTTTGATTTTCACTGTGAGGGTAATATCTCTTAAAGAGGCAGGAAGAAAATCAGGTCGTTGTAGCCAAAGGAAGAAGAAGGTTCAAAATAGGGATTGTTTTATTCATGCTATTATCCTGATGTCTAGAATAGTGCTAACATAAAGGAGATGTTTATTAAATATCTATTGGATATATTACATATGAATGAATGAATGAATGACTGTATTACTATTGTAACATATAACAAAATGAATGTCTATTTCAGAAGAATTTTATGATTGTTATTTTGCTTTTTAGGATCTAAAGACTATCAGCTAGTTACATGGTCCCGAGATCAGACTTTGAGAATGTGGCGGGTGGATTACCAGATGCAGAGGGTATGTATTCATTACTATTATGGAAAAATATAAATAAATACATTAGACATTAGACCAAAAAATGCAACATTCTGCATTTGTGCAAGTTAGAGGATACAAGATAGATGTTTAATGCATCCTAGCTGCTTGCCACATTGGCTTTGAAGTTTTTTTGTTTTTGTTTTTACCAGTTCTAGCCCTTGAACTCAGGGCCTGGGCACTGTCCCTGAGCTGCTTTTTGCTCAAGGCTGGCACTCTCCTTTAGTCACAGTGCTACTTCCAGCTTCTGTGGTGCTGAGGAATTGAACCAGAGTTTCATGCACGCTAGGCAAACACTCTGCCACTAAGCCACATTCCCAGCCTGGCGTTGAAGTTTTAACGAACCAAAGTGTTCAGCACTTTAAGGCTAAAGAGCCTCCATTTTTTTTCTTAATACAAAATGATGAACAGCCTGTTGGCTTTGTGGATTGCTCTTCTCAAGAACCCTACCCTTATACTGTGCAGATAGTCACAGCTCTTTCATCCATCAATGCATCTCTTCTAAGAAGCTATTTCTAAATTTTCTTCATGTATAATACTTGTTTTTTTTTTTTTTTTTTGTCGGTCGTGGGGCTTGAACTCTGGGCCTGGGCACTGTCCCTCAGCTCTTCAGCTCAAGGCAAGCGCTCTACCACTTGAGCTACAGCGCCACTTCCGGTTTTCTGGTGGTTTATTGGAGATAGGAGTCTCATGGTCTCTCCTGCCCGGGCTGGCTTTGAACCTCGATCCTAAGATCTCAGCCTCCTGAGTAGCTAGGATTACAGGCGTGAGCCACCAGCGCCCAGCTAATACTTGTTTTTTATATAAACCACAGTAGTAGCCAGGCACTGTTGGCTCACACCTGTAATCCTAGCTACTCAGGAGGCTGAGATCTGAGGATTGCAGTTCAAAGCCAGCCTAGGCAGGAAAGTCAGTGAGGTTCTTATCTCCAATTAACCACCAGAAAACCCGAAGTGGTACTGTGGCTCAAAGTGATAGAGCACTAGCCTTGAGCACAAAAGCTTAGGTTTCTTTTTGTTGTTGTTGTTGGTTGTGGGGCCTGAACTCTGGGCTTGGGCACTGTCCCTGAGCCCTCCAGCTGTAGACTAGTGCTCTACTACTTGAGCCTCAGCCTCACTTCCAGCTTTTTTTGCTTATGTGGTGCTGAGGAATCGAACTGAGGGCCTCATGCATGCAAAGTAAGCACTCTACCACTGATTCACCTTCCCAGCCCAAGCACAAAAGCTTAGGGACGGCATCTGGGCCCTGAGTTCAAGCTCACTACTGACAAAAACCCAACACACACACACACACACACGCACGCACGCACGCACGCACGCACGCACACACACACACATACACACAGTATGGTATGAATTGCTGTAGTGACCCTTGATCTTTCCTTTTTCAGTGAGGCTATCTTTCCTTGATGGGGAAACATACATGTCTCACCAGTATCAAATCCTCCATGGCATTTGGACCACCAGTTTGCAAAGGATTGATGGAAAATGCTGGTTAAAATTTGTAACACCTAGCTGGGCACTGGTGGCTCACACCTGTAATCTTAGCTACACAGGAGGCTGAGATCTGAGGATCATGGTTCAAAACTAGCTGGGCAGAAAAGTCCGTGAGACTCTTATCTCCAATAAACCACTCAGAAAACTGGAAGTGGCGCTGTGGCTCAAGTGGTGGAGAGCTAACCTTGAGCTGAAGAGCTGAGGGACAGTGCCCAGGCCCAGAGTTCAAGCCCCATGACCAACAAAAATAAAAATAAAAATATTTGTAACACCTATTTAGTGTGAAGTCACTCTTGAGCATCTAGACAGGTCTTATTTATTTATTTTTTTTTTGGTTCTGGTCGTGGGGCCTGAACTCTGGGCCTGGGCGCTGTCCCTCAGCTCTTCAGCTCAAGGCTAGCACTCTACCACTTGAGCCACAGTGCCACTTCCGGCTTTTTTTTTCTGGTTATGTGGTGCTGAGGAATCGAACCCAGGGCCTCATGCATGCAAGGCAAGTGCTCTACCACTGAGCCACCTTCCCAGCCCTAGGTCTTTTTAACCTATTTTTTCCAAGAAATCTCATTTGCTGCTTATGCTTTGAGGCTATGTTACTTTTGCTCATAAATAACTCCATTAAGGCAGAATTTAAATTTATTTTTTTCTGAGCCCTGCATAAACTCTTAATGTGATGAAAAATGTCCAGAGTAGAACTATAGAGTTTTTTGGGGGTTTTTTTGCCTTCTTTTTTTTTTTTTGTTTTGTTTTGTTTTTTAATTTTTTATTATTTTTATTTTTTATTTTTTTTTTTATTGTAAAGCTACTATACAGAGGGTTACAGTTACATGAGTGAGGTAATGAGTACACTTCCCCTTGAACATTGTTACCCCCTCCATTGTTTTCCCCCTACCATCCCCTCCCTCCCTCCCTTCCCCGAGGTTCTTTTTTTTTTTTTTTTTTTGATTGTGATTAAATGATTACATAATTTCAAAGTCACAAGTTCATTCTAACTTCCCTGGAACAAATTGTCTACCACAGTCTGTAATATATAACAGTGTTCACATGTTATATACCATATTTGTGATCAGCAGCATGGGGATATTTAGTAGTGGTTCAACCAGATGAGCGGGAGTTCTTTGTTTCTTAAGTCCTGTTAGTTTTGTCGTATCACCTAACCTTTTGGATTTAGCATCCACTTATCAGGGAGACCATGTACCGTTTGTCTCTTCATTCTTGGCTTACCTCGCTCAACATGATTCCTTCTAGCTCCATCCATTTCCCTGCAAATGCCATTATTTTGTCATTTCTAATGGCTGCATAATATTCCATTGTATATAGATACCACAATTTTTGGATCCATTCATCTGTGGTGGGGCATCTAGGTTGTTTCCATATCCTAGCTATTGCGAACAGTGCTGCAATAAACATGGAGGTGCACGTGTCCTTGTATATTGGTTCCTGTTGTTCAGGGTAGATGCCTAGAAGTGGAACTATAGAGTTTTTATCCTGTGTGTTTAACCAGGGAGAGTTGTTGATGGGCAAAATCTATTTTGATTATGTCATTTCTTGGCTGACACATCTTTCCCTTGAGATACTCTTTTCCTCCACCACCTCCTCCTCCTCTTCCTCCTTCTCCTTCTCTTTCTCCTTCTCCTTCTCTTCTTCTTCCCCTTCCTCCTCCTTCTTCCTCTTCTTTTTTGGTGCCAGTCCTTTGGGCTAGAACTTAGAGCCTGAGTGCTGTCCCTGAGCTTTTGCTCAAGGCTAGTGCTCTACCACTTGAGCCACAGCTCCACTTCTGGCTTTTTTTTTTTTTTTTTTTGAGTAGTTTATTGGAGATAAGAGTCTTTTGGACTTTCATGCCCCAAGCAGGTTTTGAACTGTGATCCTCAGATTACAACTTCCTGAGTAGTTAGGATTAAAAGTGTGAGCCACCAGCCCTACCTAAGATTTTTTTTTTTGTTTTTGGCCAGTTATGGGGCCCAAACTTGGCCTGAGTGGTGTCCCTCAGCTCTTCAGCTCAAGGCTAGCACTTTACCACTTGAGCCATAGTGCCACTTCCAGCTTTTTCTGCTGAGGAATTGAACCCAAGGCCTCATGCATGCAAGGCAAGCACTCTACCACTGAGCCACTTTTCCAGCCCTGGCCTGAGATTTTTATTTTTAAATCAGTAATTTTATTTTTTTTTTCTTTTTTTCTTTTTTTTTATTGTAAAGCTACTATACAGAGGGTTACAGTTACATGAGTGAGGTTATGAGTACACTTCCTCTTGAACATTGTTACCCCCTCCATTGTTTTCCCCCTACCATCCCCTCCCTCCCTCCCTTCCCCGAGGTTCTTTTTTTTTTTTTTTTTTTTGATTGTGATTAAATGATTTCATAATTTCAAAGTCACAAGTTCATTCTAACTTCCCTGGAGCAAATTGTCTACCACAGTCTGTAATATATAACAGTGTTCACATGTTATATACCATATTTGTGATCAGCAGCATGAGGATATTTAGTAGTGGTTCAACCAGATGAGCGGGAGTTCTTTGTTTCTTAAGTCCTGTTAGTTTTGTCGTATCACCTAACCTTTTGGATTTAGCATCCACTTATGAGGGAGACCATGTACCGTTTGTCTCTTCGTTCTTGGCTTACCTCGCTCAACATGATTCCTTCTAGCCCCATCCATTTCCCTGCAAATGCCATTATTTTGTCATTTCTAATGGCTGCATAATATTCCATTGTGTATAGATACCACAATTTTTGGATCCATTCATCTGTGGTGGGGCACCTAGGTTGTTTCCATATCCTAGCTATTGCGAACAGTGCTGCAATAAACATGGAGGTGCACGTGTCCTTGTATATTGGTTCCTGTTGTTCAGGGTAGATGCCTAGAAGTGGTATGACTGGGTCGTAAGGGAGGTCAATCTTTAGCTTTCTAAGGACCCTCCAGACTGCTTTCCAAAGTGGTTGTATAAGTGTACATTCCCACCAGCAGTGTAATAGGGTTCCTCTTTCTCCACATCCCCTCCAGCATTTGTCGTTGGCTGATTTGTGGATGTGGGACATTCTGACTGGGGTAAGGTGGTATCTCAGGGTTGTCTTTATTTGCATTTCCTTCACCATCAGGGATGATGAACATTTCCTCATGTGTTTCTTTGCCATTTTTATTTCTTCATTTGAGAAGTCCCTCTTTAGTTCCCTTGCCCATTTAGTAATTGGTTTGTTAGGTTTGGGAGGGATTAGTTTCTTGAGTTCCCTGTATATACAGGATGTTAACCCCTTGTCTGATATATTGCTGGTAAATTAAATCAGTAATTTTAAACTAGACACACTGATCTTTCCTATTGCCCTGGGATTCAGTCCAGGGCCTCATACATGCTAAGGAAGTACTCTGCCATTGATGTACATCCCCAGCCCCATTTTCTACCCTTGGTTGTAGCTCTGTGCCAATGACATACTGGATGGTGTTGATGAGTTCATTGAGAGCATTTCTCTTCTGCCGGAACCAGAGAAGACCCTGCACACTCAAGATACAGATCACCAGCAAAATTCGAGCCATGGGGAGGAAGAAGGTAATGTGTGCAACTGATGTCTTAGGGGCCATTTTATACATTTCAGAGTTGTGTGGTAGATAACTCAGAACTGACTCGTTTTCAAAAGAAAAATCTTCCAACCATGAAATCTCTCTTGCTAGCATTTAAGGAAGATCCCCCTAGCAGTCTTCTGGAAGAGAGAAAATCAGATCAACTGGGCCTGCCTCAGACTCTTCAGCAGGAATTCTCCCTTATCAACGTACAAATCCGAAATGTCAACGTGGAGGTAGGTTGGAGTTTAATGTACTGTGTCTCACACTTGCTGAAGGCAGTTTGTGGGAGATGAGGCTATTTCAGTGATGATTTAAGTCAGCAAATAGCTGTGCTAACTGGTAAGTCTGCCTGCTTCTTTAGGTTTTATAATGAAAAAGATATTTTGCAAGCTTTTTTTTTCTTCCTGTGTTCTTTTCTTCTAAGATGAGCTGAGGCTTGAGCATCTCTTTAGATTCTCTAATACCTATTTTCACTATGCATGAAGGTACTTGTTATGGGAAGACTTAGTGATTAGGAAAGTGTGTGGTGTGTGTGTGTGTGTGTGTGTGTGTGTATTTCAGTAATTTTTTAATGAGATTAAGTGATTACATAAATTTCACAGTATTGTGGGATAGTGATAAAGTCACAAACACATTTAACCTTTATAAGGCAAATTGTCATTATCATGGTCTATTAAGTTTGTGAATTCTATTAGCTTTGACAATACAAATATTTCTAGGAAGGAGTTTCATTAGTTTTTTTCACCTAGATCCAGTTGACTATAGGCAGAGATATGTGTCTTTATGTAATTATGCCATTAGTTCTTCAAACTGTTCTGCACAAATTAGTTGTATGTCACCTTATGGGGGGGGGGACATAGTGAGATCATGTATCAAAAAATAACAACAACAAAAACAAATATTGCAGGCTCACACCTGCAATACTAGCTACTTGGGAGGTTAAGATTGGAAGAATCACAGTTCCACACCAGCTTGGGTGGCATGGGCCATGAGACTTCATCTTAACAGAAAGAAACTGGGTATGGTGTCATGTGCCTGCCGCTGCAGCTACTATGGGAAGCAAAATAGGGAGATTGAGGTCCAGGCATATATACCTAAGCAAGAAGCGGAGCTCTGTCTCTTAAGGGCCAGAACCATGGCTCAGCAGTAAAGCATAGGACTCTGATTTCAAATCCCAGTACCACTGAAAACAAGAAAAAGAAGCCCAAAACCCAAACTCCCATGCCCATTAGTGGTCATTCTCCATCTGCCCTCTCCCCAGCCTCTGGATGCCATTAATCTACTTTCTTTTTCCAGGAGTACTTTTAAATTGTCAGGTTATTTCTTTAACTCCTAAAATAATTTTTTCTGACTCTACCAACTGAGCCATTCTACTAGTACCTTTTTGAATTGGTTATTTTCAAGATAGAGGATGCCTTATCATGCCAGCCTTGACTACACTCTTCCTATTTATGCTTCCTATATCACTGAGATGATAGCCTGCACTACCACACCCAGCCATTGTATTTCCCATGTACTGTGGAATGACAGGTGTGTGCCACCATGCCTAGCTTAGCTGTTAAGAAAATCTCAAGGACTTTTATACCTTGGCTGGCCTCATACCACAATCCTCTGATCTCCACCTCTCAAGTAGCTAGGATTACAGGCTTGAGTTACTGCCCCCAGGTCATTTCTTTTAACTCAAAGCAATCTAACAGGCATAGTTTTTGGTACTTTTATTTTTAAGTTAAAATATTTTATTATATATATTATTTTATATATATATATATATATATATATATACAATTTCAGTTTTTGTGTATGTGTGTGCCAGTCCTGGGGCTTGAATTCAGGGTATGGGTACTGTCCGTTAGCTTTTTGCTAAACACTTTACCACTTTGAGTTACAGCATCACTTCTGGCTGTGTGTGTGTGTGTGTGTGTGTGTGTGTGTGTGTGCACGTGCGCATGTGTCTGCATGCACACACACACACACACACACACACACATATAGATAAGAGTCTCATGGACTTTTCTGCCTGGGCTGGCTTCAAACCATGATACTCAGATCTCAGCCTCCTAGGTAGCTAGGATTACAGGCGTGAGCCAGTGGTGCCTAGCTCAAAATTTGCTTTGAAAGGGATTGCCTCCCATACTCCTTTGTCTTACTAGACTCTCTCTCTTTACATGGTTAATAGGAACAGGGACCATTCAGGTAGGTAACATTTAAATTGATTAGCATCTTGCACAGGGTGTAGCTCAGTGGTAGAATGCTTGATTACCATGAATAAAATCCTAGATTTGATCCTCAGCACTACAAATAAGTGAGTCAATAAAATCCATTTGTATCTGATGACCCTTTGCAGTTTGTCTCTAGTGTAGGCATATACTTTATGTCTTGCAGATGGATGCGGCAGACAGGAGTTGTACAGTATCCGTGCACTGTAGCAACCATCGCGTCAAGATGCTGGTGAAGTTCCCAGCACAGTACCCCAACAATGCTGCCCCTTCCTTCCAGTTTATTAACCCCACAACTATCACATCTACTATGAAAGCTAAGCTGCTAAAGGTAAGGCTCTGAATTCCCAAATTCTCTTTAAAAAAAAAAAAGACAAGAGTTCCATTTTTGTGTGTCAGTATCTCTGCTGAGTAGTGAAAACTAGGAAAGATTTGGAAGTCATCTTTCCCTATGTGCCACCGTGTTGGCTGCACATGAAAGGAGCCATGGTATTCTGAAGAAAGGCTGGCTAGTTGCAGGTGAGGTGGGTGGACAGCAGAGCCTGGCAGCTGGTCGTCACCCCTTCAGATTCTAAAACCTGTGTCAGTTCATTGACAGCTTATCAGGGAGAATTCCACAAGAAAAGCCCTATGAGCTGTTGATGACACACCTTTTTCCATCTGAGCGTTATCACAAGTGAAGAGTAGAAGGTTCTGACAGCTTCTGCCCATTTTGGATCATATGTACTTTATTATTCTGTCTAGTGGTCTTGTATGTAACCAGGAAAATTTCATTTTAAGGATCTTGAAGCTCTGACGACAAGAATTTTGTAGTACTTGGTGTTTTCAACTCTGAAAATTCCATTGCCTCATTCTGACATACAAAAAAGAAAAGCATGCAAGGCAAGCGCTCTACCACTGAGCCACCTTCCCAGCCAAAAGCAATCACTTATTTATGATATTAGAAATCATTTCTATAGTAATCTTTAAGACAAAACCCAGCAAAAAAACATTTGTAAGATACTATCTATTTGGAGCAAAGATTTTTATAACTAGTTTGTTTCTTTTTTAAATAAAGTAATGTAAAAAATCAAAAAAAAAAAAAAAAAAAAGAAAAGCATTCTCAGTTAGCAAAAAATGATGGATTACCATGTGTTTTTAAAAAAACCTTAATTCAGTCCTGACTAAGAGAAATACAGGGCTGGGAAGGTGGCTCAGTGGTAGAGCGCTTGCCTTGCAAGCCTGAGGCCCTGGGTTCGATTCCTCAGCACCATATAAGCAAAAAAGAAAAAAGCCAGAAAGTGGCGCTGTGGCTCAAGTGGTAGAGTGCTAGCCTTGAGCTGAAGAGCTGAGGGACAGCGCCCAGGCCCAGAGTTCAGGCCCCACAACCGGACCCAAAAAAAAAAAAAAAAAAGAGAAATACAATACAGAGCATATGTAATTGTAGATTTCCCAGTAACTATTCTAAAAAAATTTAGAGAAGCAGGTAGTTTTTTGTTTTTTTTTTTGGTCAGTCTTGGGTCTTGAACTCTGGGCCTGGGTACTGTCCCTGAGCTCTTCAGCTCAAAGCAAGCAGTCTAATGCTTGAGCCACAGGGTTATTTCCAGTTTTCTAGTGGTTAATTGAAGAGTCTCACAGACTTTCCTGCCCATGCTGGCAGATCTCAGCCTCCTGAGTAGCTAGGATTAGAGGCATGAACCACCAGCACCTGGTAACAGGTAGTTTTAGTAATGTTTAATTTAATACACCACCTCCAAAATATTGTCATATTAATGCATAATCAAAAGTTGCTGAGGTATTTTGTATTTTGGGTATAAAAAAATCAAAGTCTTTGACATTGGCAGTTTTAGACTTTTTTACAGTGCTTCTCAATTTGGAGTAAGCACATTTCATATGTTTCTTAGTGCCATGCAGGTAGCAGTAGCTCAGTCCGGTTGGTTTGCCTATCTTCAGGATACCTATCAGTTTATTCCAGGATGGCTCAATTTATATCTATAGCATATGCTTTAAAAATGTTAGGATGTAAGGATTTACAAAATACATTATATTTTTACTCAGAACAGTTGTAAATCTTGAGGGGTATTATTTCCAAGGTATAGCAATGGGGTTGCAGAGAAGGAAAGGGTGGAATTCACTAGAAAGAATAGTTATTGTGTTACTGGAATTTGCCCTATCAAAACCCATGTGTAGAGTTCAAGCCCCACAACTGACCAAAACAACAAAACCCATGTGTGTGGCTGTCTGGGTTCCCAGGACTTCTCTAGGAGGCCCTATAGGAAATGTTATGCTTGAAGCCTCAGACATAACCATGCTCCAGTACCCGCCCCTCCCCTGGCCCATGCCACCCTGCTTCTGATACCTTTGCAGACTTAAAGCTTAGTAGAGAAATACGGTGCTCTTCCCGATCTGACTGTGTCTTGGGCTTTTCTTAGATCCTGAAGGACACTTCCCTGCAGAAAGTGAAACGCAACCAGAGCTGTTTGGAGCCCTGCCTGCGCCAGCTCGTCTCCTGCCTTGAGTCTTTTGTGGTGGGAAATTGAACTTATTGTACCATCCAATGCTTTTGGTGTCTTGCTTTGTTTCTTCTTCCCCTGATTTTGTAATACTGTACCCCTTTTTGTAATTTGCTTAACGACAGGTTATAGTTTTTAGTTGGTTTGTCTTTTATTCCAGAACCAAGAAGACAGCGCTTCTAGCAACCCATTTGCTCTCCCAAATTCCGTCACACCACCCTTGCCAACGTTTGCGAGGGTGACTACTGCCTATGGGTCTTACCAGGATGCCAACATTCCCTTTCCTAGGACTTCAGGAGCCAGGTTCTGTGGAGCAGGTTAGTCTCTTTGATGATTTCTGATTCTAGATTTCAAGACAGTGCCGCCAAGAATATATGTTCTTTGTAGACATCGTCAGAAATTTGTCTTTATTTTTCATTTCCTAAGAATTCGAAAGACTTTGTACTGGAATTCCATTTCAGGGCTTTACACTTATTAGGCAGGTACTCTGTCTACATTTGAGCTATGTTTTCAGTCCTTTTTGTTTTAGTTATTTACTTGTATGTTTTTACATTAGCATCAATTAGTTTTACAGGGGGTTTCATTTTGATATGTCCATATATGTACACAGCGTATCTTGATCAGACTTACCCTCTGTCACCCTCCCTCGTTCTAAATCGGTTTCAATAAGCTTCATTGTTGAGGGGATAGAAGAGGCGGGGTGAACAATATCAAGATACATTGTATTTGTGAATGAAGATAATTATTTTTTTAAAACTAGGAGCCAGGGCTGAGAATGTGGCTTAGTGGTAGAGTGCTTGCATGCATATGAAGCCCTGGGTTCGATTCCTCAGTACCACATAAAAAGAAAAAGTTGAAAGTGGTGCTGTGGCTCAAGTGGTAGAGTACTAGCCTTGAGCAAAAGGAGCTCAGGGACAATGCCCAGGCCTAGCGTTCAAGCCCTAAAACTGGGGGAAAAAATTACATAAAACTAGGAGCCAGTGTCTCAATTCTGTAGTCCTGGTGACGCAGAAGGCTGAAGTTTGGAGAATGGTCATTTTAAGCCATATTGGGAAGAAAAATCCTTGAGACTCCATTTCCAAAATAACCAGCAAAGAGCAGGGCTGGAGGTATAGCTCAAGTGATAGAGCACCAGTTGAGTGAGAATCAACCTGAACAAACACAAGGCCTTGAGTTCAAACTCTAGTACTGTAAAAAGGAAAAAAGGGGGAGAAAGTTACCCTTGAGACAAGGGTTATGTCCAGGCCAACTTGGACTGTGATCCTCCTATTTATGGTTCCCACATAGCTGGGATAACAGGTGCAGGCCACTGTGCCCAGCTGTTGATTGAGATGGGGTCTTGGCTTACTTTTCACCTGGGGTAGCTTGTTGTCCTCTCAAATATTTGTCTAAGTAGGTAGGATTGCAAATGTGAGCCACTGTGCATGGCCAGACTTTTGCCTTTTTGACAGAAGTGTGTTATATAGTGCCAAAATTGGTGTCTTTGGGTATATCTTAATCATTATCAGAACTGAAGTCTTAATTTTTTCATTCTGATGAGCTTGGATTTGAGTCTATTCAGAGCCCTGGTTCTTAACAGAGGCTAGATCAACCTGGTAGTGCTATGTAAAGTACCTGTGAAGTCTTTAACATATTTGTCCTGGGCCCTGGAGACTCTGACTTTTGTCCAGCTTATGCCACATTGCCAGCTACTTCTAGCTTCTTGACACTGATGTGTGTGTGTGTGTGTGTGTGTGTGTGTGTGTGTGTGTGTGTGTGTGTGTGTTATCTCTCTCCTTTGTCAGGTTACCTGGTGTATTTCACAAGGCCCATGACAATGCATCGAGCAGTGTCTCCAACAGAACCTACTCCTAGGTGAGTTTGGGAAATGCAGAAAGAAGGTGCATCCACAGGGCCAGAAGGAACAGATGTCTGGGAAGGATTGCTGATCCTGATTTTAGACAATTTGTTTTAGTTCTTCAGTGAACTTGCATTACAAGATTGATTTATAAGAGATCAAAGCTCATTAAGTTGCAGCAAAGCTAAGGTATTTTCCTATAAAGTTACTACCAAAGCACTTGAAGAATTAGCATACAAGAATTGTTGTCAAATAAGGCAAAATCAGTTTGAGGTATAACTCAATGGAAGAGCATGTTCCTAGTGTGTTCAAGGCTCCTGGCTTGAGCTCTTAGCACTTGACAGAATTCGAGGGCACACTGAACTCAGGTCCTTACATTCATTTAGCAAATTTGCTTGGCTTGTGCTCTACCATTTAAGTCATGCTTCGAGCTTGACTTTTTGCTGGTTATTTTGGAGATGGAGTCTAGCAGACTTTTTTTCTGTCCAGTTTGGTTTTGAACCTTAATCCACTAGATGTCACCTTCTTAAGTAGCTAGGATTACAGATGTGAGCACCAGTTACCAGCTAGCTATCATTTTTTTTATTTTGGCAATTTCTTTTTAATTTTTTTGTGTTGTATCAAAAGAATATTTGCTTATACCAAGGTTTCAAAATTATTGTTCTTTGTTTCTTTTTGAAAGCTTTATAATTTTTAAATTCCTTATTTAAGGTCTGTGATCCATCACAGATTCATTTTTTTTAACGTTGTGATGGTCAAAGTTAGTCTTATTTAGTATAAATAATCAGTTCTATAATTTTTTTTTAAGTCATGGAGCTTTAACTCAGGGCCTGGGCACTGTCCCTAAGTGCTTTTGCTCAAGGCTAGCACTCTACCACTTTGAGCCACAGTGCCACTTTCAGTTTTTGAGTGCTTAATTGGAGATAAGAATCTCGTGGGAACTTTTCTGCCTGGCCTCGATTCAACTGTGATCCTCAGATCTCAGCCTTCTGAGTAGCTAGGATTACAGATGTAAGCCACTGGCACCAGCTCTATAACAGATTTTTGAGGATTTCTTTTTTTCGTAAATTTGAATATCAGTTGATGAAATATATATGGTCTATTTCTTTTTTTTTTTTTGGGTCCGGTCGTGGGGCCTGAACTCTGGGCCTGAGCGCTGTCCCTCAGCTCTTCAGCTCAAGGCTAGCGCTCTACCACTTGAGCCACAGCACCACTTCCGGCTTTTTTCTTTTTGCTTATGTGGTGCTGAGGAATTGAACCCAGGGCCTCAGGTATGCAAGGCAAGCGCTCTACCACTGAGCCAACTTCCCAGCCCGATATGGTCTATTTCTTGACTCTAGTATTTCTTTTTCTTTTTTTTTGGTTGCTTGTGCGGCTTTAACCCTGAGTCTGAGCACTGTCCTGAGCTCTTCAGCTCAAGGCTAGCAGTCTACCACTTGAACCTTAACACCACTTTCAGTTTTCTAGTGGTTAATTGAAGATTAGAGTCTCATGGACTTTCCTGCCCCGGCTGGCTTTGAACCATGATCCTCAGAGCTCAGCCTCCTGAGTAGCTAGGATTACAGGCGTAAGCCACCAGTGCCCGGTCTCAATAGATACTTTTAAAATTAAATTGTTCCTAGGTATTTGATGTGTTTTGATGTTATTGTAAATGAAATTTTCTTATTTTCCAAATGTTTGTTTCTGATATATAGGAATACAATAGATTTTTTTTTTGAGGGGGGGTTCTGGTCATGGGGCCTGAACTCTGGGCCTGGGCGCTGTCCCTCAGCTCTTCAGCTCAAGGCTAGCGCTCTACCACTTGAGCCACAGCGCCACTTCCGGCTTTTTTCTTTTTGCTTATGTGGTGCTGAGGAATTGAACCCAGGGCCTCAGGCATGCAAGGCAAGCGCTCTACCACTGAGCCACCTTCCCTGCCCCAGGAATACAATAGATTTTTGTCAATTGACCATGTCTCTAAATTCACTCCTTAGTTTGTAGATGCTTTTCTATATACACAATTATAGAAATATTCTGTGCTGTTGTAGAGAAAGCATTTTTCAGGTTGGTTCTTTTTTTAATCTTCCCCTCCCTCACCCAATGTCTTTTCCGCTTGGCTTCATCAAATGCTAGCAGTAGCACTACTTAGGAATATAAAGACTGTAGCCAGTATGGATAATTCTCATTTTCCACTACAGATCTCTCTCAGCCTTGTCTGCTTATCATACTGGCTTGATTGCTCCAATGAAGATCCGCACAGAGGCTCCTGGGAACCTTCGTTTGTATAGTGGGAGCCCTACCCGCAGTGAGAAAGAGCAGGTCTCCATCAGCTCTTTCTACTACAAGGAGCGGGTAAGTGCCAGCGCCAGTACTTTTGATTTCTTACCCCTTCTAGATTTTTGTTCTTGTCCTGCCTGCCTTCCAGTAACTACATTAGTAAGCCCTTTGTAGTCTCTTTCAAAATTAAGCCATTGCTTTCTTCCTTTCAGTTAGTTTTAAGCACTAAATTGTGCACGGGAAGAGGGGTTAGTTCTTATAGTCCATATCCTTCATTTCCTGTGTAACCTTGTAATTCCCATGTATTGAGTTGATTGCTATATTTTAGGTAGAATAATTTATCTTCAGATGTGCCTTGGTGTTCTGATGTTTGCCAAAAAATGAAAGGATGCTTTTGAAGACTTGAGATCTGGATGTATTTGGAACTTGAGAGTTGTGAGAGTTGTGAAGTTTATTTCTAACAGATTTTCTCTTTTTACTAAGCCTACACTTAAGTACTCATTTGGATGAATCAGTTTATATGAAAATCTCCTGAACTTGTCTTTATGTTACAGGGTTCTTAGGAATTCATTGTCCCTAAGAATTCAGTTCAGGAATTTATTGTCCCTAAAGAAGTTATCATTAAGCAGGTAGACACTTTTTTTTTTTTGGTCAGTTGTGGGGCCTGAACTCTGGGCCTGCACGCTGGCCCTCAGCCCTTCAGCTCAAGGCTAGCACTCTACCACTTGACCCACAGCACTACTTCCAGCTTATGTGGTGCTGAGGAATCGAACCCAGGGCCTCATGCATGCAAGGCAAGCACTCTACCACTGAGCCACCTTCCCAGTCCTAAGCTGGTAGACACTTTTGGGAATGGCAATGTAGACATAATTGATAGAGTGCAGGAATAATGGGAATCTCCCATCTTGCCAGCTTGAGAATCTGATCTAAACATGTTATAACTGATAGGTTTTAAATAGTTCCACTTAGTCTTTGGCAGTTCTTTATTCTTCTTACCCCCCTAAGTGGACTGATTGGAATTAAAATTTATTTTTAACTGAATTATTTTAAATAACCATTTCACTCAAGTATTGGAGGTGTCTTTACTTCGATTGCAACATAGTGTTTACCTTTGGCTTATACTGATAACTGACCAGCTCTGACTTGGTCTTATCTTGGGACTGAATGTGACCAAAATGAAGGACAGCAAATGATATTTGGGACTGGACCAGCCTTAGGCAAAGCCATTCCATTAAGAAGGGAAAATGACTTTCTGTTGCTTCCTGGTCTCCTTCCATAGTCCCTTGCCTTGTATCTCTGGTGGAGTTTTGCCCCATTGGTTGCCAAGGACATCCTTAGGACACATACCAAATTATATTCCTCCCAAGTCTTCTATGTTCAAAATATTAGCTCTTTTGTCTTTTTCTTTTCTTTCCTTCCCCCCCTCCCCACCCAGTCCTGGGGCTTGAACTCTGGGCCTGGGCACTGTCCTTGAGCTTCTTTTTTTATTCAAGGTTAGCACTCTACCACTTGAGCCACAGTGCCAATTCTGGCTTTTTTTGTTGTTGTTGTTGTTGGTCATGGGACTTGAACTCTGGGCCTGGGCACTTCCCTCAGCTCATCAGCTCAAGGTGAGTGCTCTACCGCTTGAGCCATAGAGCCACTTCCAGTTTTCTGGTGGTTAATTGGAGATAAGAGTCTCATGGATTTTCCTGCCCAGCTTGGCTTTGAACTGCGATCCTCAAATCTCAGCTCCTGAGTAGCAAGGATTCCAAGCATGAGCCACCAGCACTGGCTACTTCTGTTTTTTTCTACTTGCTTGGTACTGAGGACTCGAACCCAGGGCTTCATGCATGCTAGGCAAGCGCTATATCACTAAGCCACATTCTCAGCCCATTTTTTGTTTCTTTTTTTTTTTTTTGGCCAGTCCTGGGGCTTGAACTCAGGGACTGAGTACTGTCCCTGAGCTTCTTTTGCTCAAGGCTAGTACTCTACCACTTGCCACAGTGCCACTTCTGGCTTTTTCTGTTTATATGGTTCTGAGGAATTGAACTCAGGGCTTCATGCATGCTAGGCAAGCACTCTACCACTAAGCCATATTCTAAGCCCTCTTTTGTCTTTTTCTACAGGCTAGCAAGTAACCAGACAGATGATTTTATATTAGTGGGAACTAAGGCATTTGTGGCCTAACTTAAATAAACTCATAGTTGCATAAATGTGAGAATTTCCTTTAGCATCTGGGCCACGTTGAGGAGATGTTTAAGTCAGAGGCAATTTTGAATACCCATTCCATTCATAGCCTATCCTTTGCATGCTTGGGCTCAGATGGGACAGAGTAGGTTGACCAGCGCTTTTGATAATGTGGTCATGTAAAGCCTGTCCGTAGAAAAAGTAACTCCAGTTTGAAGATGGAATGATGTCTCCTAATGCAAAAGCAATGGGGAAGCCTACATTCATTATTTGTGATGGTCCAGCCCCTTTTACTAGCAATATAATCATCATAATAAGGCTCTAGAAGAACTTGGCTAATTAACTGCTAGCACATGGTATCTGCTCAAGCGTGGAAGATGGAATGTAATATTTCAGTTTGGGATAGTTACTACTACACTGCTTCTCCTCAGAAAATGGGCTATTTTAGTATCCTAGTCTGACATAGGAAGTGGTCTTTTAAGTTTTATTTTAAATAGTCACCAAATAAAATGGAAGAATACATTATACTCTCATATGAAAATTCTATACTGATGTATAACATATGTAGTTTTCAAATCATTAGCATATGGTTCAGTGAATTAACAGTCTCCCAGGTCAAGACCTAGAACATTGCAAGACTCTCACAAGCCCTGAGGGAAGGAAGACACATTTTAATGGATGACATATAATAATCATTAGGTTTTCATATGAAATTACTGATAATTGATTTTCATCTAAAAGTTTCATGTGTTTTTGTGTATTAGCTTCAAAAAATAAAAGGGAATAAGTTAATTTGTGATGAACTTGAATAAACGTATCTCCTTGAAGCTTGTTCATTTAAATACTGCCATTAATATCATACACAGGCTGCCTTATCTTTCTCATAGAGCGCAATACTCCTTGACTATTTTTGAGCCCTTGAGAGTCTAGTTTCACTTGTCAGATGATATCACCTTACTACTTTTCATCTAGAAATATTTCCAGCTTAAATTTTTTGGTGCCCCAGTTTTTTTCCTACATATTTTCATTCCCTTTTAGATCTCTTCCCATGAGAGGTTTAAATGAGGAAGAATGTAGTAGAATGTGCCAGCATAAAGCCTTTCAATGAAGGAATTACAGGATATTTTTTTGAGATTACAGAACATCTTTATAGATCTGTTAGGTGACTATTCTTTGTTTTTCTTGTGCCTTTAACCTGTCTACTTAGGTCAAATTGTTATATTTACCCAGTGTTCTCCAGATAGAATTCCAAAGTTTGCTCCTAAAATTTTGAATATACAAGAGACCTCAAAACCTACCAAATTTCATAGAAGTAAAAAAGCATAGAGATGCTAACACTAATGAATTTGGAAATACATCAACTACTAATAGCTGATGAAACGTCATTTATTCCTAGGATAAACCAGAATTCCCAGAACTTATAAAAATTAGGCATTGCCCTTAAAAAAAGATCTCATCTTTGCTTTAGTTTATGTTAATTACTAAAAGAGCAAATAACTGGTGAGATCTTTAAGTTTAGTAGAATCACATCTGATCTCCATAATCAGTGGGGTATGTTTCCAGTTCCATGCTCAGATGCTCTTGCTGTTAGCAAGGGGACACTCAAGAACATTCTTCCTCAGCTCAGCTCTCTTCTCCCCTCCCCTCAATTCTCCAGGATTCCCTCTCTACCCCCGACCCTGCATTGCTCTGAAAATAGTCGTTCAGTCCCAGTGTCAAAATACCAGATTCCCTCATTGCCCCTGCCATTCACACCTAGGGTGTTGAGTCCAATAAAGAACTTACTTCCCTTTAGGAGTGAGAGAACATACTCTCAGTACATGTGAAGCGAAAAGGAGAGAGTGTCTTTGCCTATTCTTTCGCTTGCACCATGATATTAGACCTGTTCGAGTCCCTCTCACCCTGACCATAGTTCCTTTGTCAGAACTGTGTGGGCAGCATCCTGTTATATCCTGGAAGATGCCTGAAGAACAATGAAATGGAAGCTGGTCCTGGTGTGTGATAGGTTGGGGGAGGAAAGGGAGTCCAGATATTCCTATGCTGCAGTTTAGGTTTTCCAGTCATTTCATTCCCCTTTTGTAACATATATATAAATATATTTGAATCCATCAAATGTGAGGAAAGCTTTCATTTTATTCTCTATTTTTCCCCTTTTAATTTTCTTGGTGTTTTTCTTCCCTCTTCCTGGGTGTAACGTTTTCACGCACAGATGTCTCCTCGCTCTGCCCGGCGACGTTGGTCCATACAAGCAATTAACGACTTCCCGGTACTGTGCGCTGTGCAAATGCTCTCCTTAACTAATCCTGTCTCTACCCAAAGGCCCAAGAATAAAATGCCACCTGCCTGGCTTTGAGGAACCCGAAATGACAGGCTGGCTGGTTTTCAGGACCAGCAACAAAAAAAGTTTTGCTTTGTAGTCATGGTGTTTCAAGTGGGTAAACATGGTTGAGGGTCATGAATGGCTTTCTTTACAAATGAAACTAAATATTGGGTTCTTGGAAGAAATCCTGATTAAATGACTTTTAGTTCACCTGATTTCACTTGGAGCACTTGGATAATTCCCATGGTGCTTTTAAAAGCTTACCTGTGGCATGGTGGGGAGCAGAGGAAGATATAAGAGGTTTCCACCATTTAGTCTCTATGTTAATTGTCTTGGTTTAGTTCAGAAAGAAAAGTGCCCACCTGCTTCATTGGCATGATACATGGGAAGTTTCTGGAACAAATATTTTCATTATCATCAATATTTTTGTATTGATACCAAAGCATCCGCTATGGGATATCCCTTCTTCCTTTCTTTCTTTTCCTAATTCATTCCTATTGGCTACCTTCCCTCTTCTGTCTTCCTCTCCCATCCCTTTCATGTTTCAGTAGAGCCAAGATGACCTCAAGGCAGCCTTGATGCTTTGTAAATTGTGTTGGACATTAAAAAAAAGTCTAGAGGCTTTGCACTGTATAGGCTTTGCATTCAAACTTAGTTGAATTCAGGAGCCCTCATTATGAGCAGGAACCACTGCTGCCAACAGCTTGCAGGTGGAACCACCAATTTGGCCACCTTCCCTCAAAATGCTGCCTCCAGCCAGTCCAACTGTTGAATTTCTTCTGATTTTCCAGAAGCCCCTGTTTTTGCAGCTCTTTAAATGGGAACTCATTTTGACTCACTGCCCACTGCTGATTATGCATTGTTGATGGGGTTGCTGCAAAGCAGTTGGTGGCTTATTCTTGGGCTGGTTTTACATTTAACCCATTTACTGGCATCGATGTTGCCTCCGATTGTAGCAGTAACACTGGTGGTGCAGTTGTGAGCTGGCTATTGGTTGTCATTCAGTGCCTCCCTTCCTCCTTCCTGCCCATCTTCCCTGTCCTTTTTGCCATAACCCACGAGCACCTTCCTGGGATGTTCACAGGGTTATCTTGGAGCTCGTCATGTAATAATTTGTCTGTCTTGCTTTGCCTCTCTTCCTTTAGTCCCTTTTCATGAAATCTATGGGGAAAGGACATTTTTCTGGTGATGGAGCATTGTAAAGACCTGAGGGAAATGTAGCCTTTTGCCTTCTTGAAGTACCAATTTTACTGCACAGAAAATTATCCACACAAAAGCCTGTCAGAGTGGGACTGAAGCAACGTAAGAAGATTAGGGCTTTTAGATCATGGTTCCTAACCTTGACAGAGTAGCCACACCTTAGCTCTCTAAAACCAAAGGATCCCAAGAGAAATCCAGATGTTGATACCTGACAGTTGCACAGTCAAGAGAGACTCCCCAAATGGCCTGCAAGCTATTAAAAAAAGTCAGTCTTAAGGGAAATGCAGATGGACCAGAAATGCTTTTTATTACCAGATCTTAGGGGAACCCCCCCCCCCTGAAAAATTGTGGAACTTTTGGTTAGGGAGCAGCTGGGAGCTAAGGCCACAACTAACATCTGATTTGAAAGGTAGTATATTTTCATTTAGGTAGTTTTGTTATATTTCAATCTCTATAATAATTGGTCATTAGATGGGATTATGGATTAACCCTGTAGCTTGAAGGGGAAATGCTTCATATTTAAACCAACAAACAATTTTTTTAAACCCAACACTGATTTGTAGCCTCTTAAGGATTTTTGACAATATTTTGCAGTTATTTTATACTACACTAAGATGAGAGAGAAGAGAGAGATTGAAATAAGAAGGAAAATAAATTGAAACAAAAGGAAATTGAAACCCCATTGTATAACTACTTTAAGAGAAAGGAAAAGAGAGAGAGAGAGAGAAAGAGAGTGAGAGAGAGAGAAAGACGATTAGTACTGTCCCATAATTGCTTTCACAATGTAACTTTTGGCAGCTAGAGTTAGAGTGATCTCATGTTGCAGAATCTCCTGTAGGCTCAGAGGCAGCTGAGTGAGGTTCCATATAACCTCTCTCTCTCTGGCTCTCTCTGGCTCTCTGGCTCTCTCTCTCTGTCTCTCTCTCTCTCTGTCCCCCCCCCCCTCTCGTGCTGGTACTAGGACTTGAAAGTAAACCTTGCTTTCTTGTTTAGTTTTGTTGCTCACGGCTGATGCTTTACCACTTGAGCTGTTTAGAACTTTAAAAAAAAAATTTAAATTGTTATTATAAAGGTGACGTACAGAACCGTTACAGTTATATGTCAGTCAAAAAATACATTTCCTTTAGGACAATGTCACCCCTTCCCTCCCTCTACTTTATAACTTTTTGCTGGTTAATTGAAAATAGAGTCTCCTGGATTGTCTGCTCAGACTGGGTTTGAACCATGATACTCAGATCTCAGCCTCATGAGTAGCTAGGACTTACAGGCATGAGTCACCAGTGTCCAGCCATAGAGCATTCCTTATATATTCAGTACAGACTAGACAGAAACTCCTAGAAGCCCAGTGTTTCAAGAAGTCCAAAATACAGACTATGATTTTCATAATTCAGTAAAGAATAACTTTAAAACATTGTCAAAGACCACTGTCCACATTTTCATCCAATATTTATTGGCAACTCACATTGATTTATTTCTACTGATCTCTGCAAATGGTGGAAGAATCTTAAGACATCTTTCTGGATTCTTGAGTTTTCTTCCGTCTGAATGTGCCTGATCTTCACAAATATACAGAAGTAAACTAAACACACATGTGTGAGTTACATACTCTCAAACATAGCCTGAAAGTAGTGTTAGACTGAAGCGGGCTTGCCCCAAGGAAAGCCACGTGGCTGTAGCTCTGCTGATCATCAGCAAAGAGCCAATTATAATATTTGGCAGAAAGTGACTGAAAACCACATAAAGTTCTGAAAAGCAAGTTAACAAAAGTGGGTTTTGTAGCCTGTTCAGATCTGAGTTCTTTCTGACTGTAACCTTGAATAAGCTTCAGGTCCATCTTAGGAAACATGAAAGTACTTCAGGGTCTCACAACTGCAGCCCCAACTACCAGCCCCAAGTGGGCCATCCAAACAAGAGATGATATGATTCTAACAGCCACAGACAGAACTCTAAATCCTAAGCCAAATATTTATATACTTGGACCTGTTTCATTGTGAATTTCCAAATCAGCTAGTCTACTTGCAAATGAGCACTTCTGGCATATGAGCCTTCATATAATAAATAATGGGTTTTTAGTTAGTCTTAACTTAAAATTCAGGCAATTATGGCTCTTTCCATTGTGTTCTAAAAGCTAGTAGACCCCCCATTGTTCATGAATCTCCATTTGTTTCAGATGTATAGTTTAATGAGCTTCCATGAGTTGCTCCCTTATTCACTGATTTTCATTTTCTCTTTGTAATAAAGAGCCACAGTGACTTCTGGGAACAGTATCTTGAAGAAGACTTCCAGAAAACTAAATTAGATGGATTGTATTTTATTCCATTTAGAATCTTTTTAATGTAGATCATTATTTTTTCAATCTAGTACCCTAAATCTCAGTTGAGATGGTCAATGTCACTGTTCACTGTCATCGTAGGGTAGTTGTACTCTAATTCACACTCCCTAACCTAGCTCGTGCACAGTGCATGTATGACTACATCTAATATCAGTTAACACTACTTGGCTCCCGCCCATTCTGACGAGCTGTTTTTTCTTTAACATGTCCTCCCCATATGTGGACCCAAGTCAGGATGTTTGTAGATAAAAGGGTAGTATTTTTTGTTTACTTGATTTTGTGCCAGTCCTGGGGCTTGAACTCAGAGCCTAGGATCCATCCCTGACCACCTTTTTGCTCAAGGCTACCACTCTCCACTTGACCCACATATCTACTTCTGGCTTTTTTGATAATTTAGTGGAGATATAAATCTTACAAATAGACTTTCCTGCCAGGTGCTGATGGCTCATGCCTGTAATCCTAGCTGCTCAAGAGGCTAAGATCTGAGGATCCTGGTTAAGTCCGTGAGACTCTTATCTCCAATTAACCACCAGAAAACAGGAAGTGGTGCTGTGGCTTGTGTTAGAGTCTTGCCTTGAGCTGAAGAGCTGAGGGACAGAGCCCAGGCCCAGAGTTCAAGCCCCATGACAGATAAAAAAAAACAAAAAAAGAACAGACTTTTCTGCCTGGGCTAGCTTTGAGCTGTGATCTTCAGATCTCAGCCTCCTTAGTACCTAGGATGAAAGGCATGATCCCCCCTGGGGCCTGGCAAAAGGATAGTGAGTATGCACATAATTCTTCTTTAGTAAAGAATCAGGACTGTCATTTTAGCTCTCAGGAAGCTGAGGTAGATGAATATAGGGAGTTTGAGGCTACACAGTGAGTTCAAGGCCAGCCAGTGAGACTGACCTTGGAAAATGCAGAAGATTGAAGAGTTCCCCCTAATAATAGATTACCCTTCCCCTTGTATTGAAGAATTAGGACCCATTGCATAGACAAGTAGTAAGTAGCAGTGGAACTGCTTCATAAGATCAAATAGGTTACAGTCCATATTGTTGGTGCAGCATATGCACTTATAAATTATGATAAATCATTCACAGATACTTTGGCTAAACTTCTTCATTTACTGGCCTGGAACTAAATTCAGGTGTCCTGCATTTAGTAAATACTGAGATATATACCAAATCTCTAGAAAGTTACATGCACTGGATGCCCTTGGGATTAGATAAGATATTGTGGTCAGAAATGCCTGGATTTTTTTTTTTTTTTTGGGTCCGGTCATGGGGCCTGAACTCTGGGCCTGGGCGCTGTCCCTCAGCTCTTCAGCTCAAGGCTAGCGCTCTACCACTTGAGCCATAGCGCCACTTCCGGCTTTTTTCTTTTTGCTTATGTGGTGCTGGCACCACAAGGCAAGGCAAGTGCTCTACCACTGAGCCACCTTCCCAGGCCAGAAATGCCTGGATTTTAACACCTAAAATAATTCACAGGAGCGTAGTTATGTGAAAATCACATGTAGAAAATAAATTTGCCCATGAGTAATCTGAATAATGAGCTAATTTAGGTTCCTGAGGGTTTACATACACACATATATTTTTAGGTTGCCCTTCCCAGTCTTTGCAGTTTACACTCATGTGTTTTTCTTACTGTACCCTCATTGACTTTCTGGTATTGGCCAACAGGATCCATTGTTAGTCCAAGTTATTATTGAGAAGGGGGGAAAAAAGGTGACTATCATGAGATTAAATCACCAGCAAATGATTAAACTTTCCCAGAGTCATACTGAACCAGTATATGTGGTAATAAGACCTTGGTTTGGCTGGGCACCAGTGGCTGACACCTGTAATCCTAGCTACTCAGGAGGCTGAGATCTGAGGATCATGGTTCAAAGCCAGCTCAGGCAGGAAAGTCCATGAGACTCTTATCTCCAATAAACCACTAGAAAACTGAAGTGGTGTTGTGGCTCAAGCGGTAGAGTGCTCGCCTTGAGTTGAAGAGCGCAAGGACAGAGGCCAAGCCCAGAGATCAAGCCCCACAAATGACCAAAAAAAAAAAAAGAAAAGAAAAATTGGGAGTGGTGCTGTAGCTCAAGTGGTAGAGTGCTTGCCTTGAGCTGAAGAGCGCTGGGACAGTGCCCAAGCCCAGAGTTCAAGCCCCATGACCGACCAAAAAAAAAAAAATGACCTTGGTTTTCTGATTCCAAACTGTAGCTTCTTTTCACCTGCTCCTTATACCTGGCTTGTTAGTTTCCTTAGCTGAGTCATTTTGGTTAACTCTTTTAACTTTTGGAAATAGAATATTTGCTCCATTGTCTGGTTGCCATTTTGAAGGTAGCAGAGTCTGGTAATTCTCATTTTCCAGAACATTTCCCATTTTACATGCATAGACTCCTCATATAGAGAGCTACTTAACAGTGACAGATCTGGGGAACTGGGCTATGTTCATGCTCGCCATGTCCATTACCCAGTCCCCTGACTTGAATATCTTGGACCTTTTGAAGGGATCAATGTGTAGAAATAATTCAGGTCTTCTAGAAAAGAGTAGAAACTCTCCTAGAGCTTCCAGGCTCTTCTTCCTCCATAGATTAACGTTGGCAGAGCCTGTGCCGGTGTGTCTGAGCTAAATATCCCACAGATCCTGTTGAAACTGTCTGAGAAGAGAAAACTGGTTTCAGGCAAGACCTTTGAACCTAGTACTAAACTCCAACCTTAAAATTGGTTCTTCTCCCACATTTTGGGAGTCTTTACTAACTCCTTGAACTGCTATTTTAAAATTAATTAATTAATTCTGGCTTCCTAGTTTCCATTTTTGAACACCTGCAGAATGTATGTAGCCCTGCCACGGGTGCCTGTCTTTCTGTTAGGATTTTGGATCAAGAGCTCAGTGTCCTTTGTCATCCTTTTATTTCCTATTGATGCTGATTCATGTAATTGTGGGCATGATGTAATTTACAGTTTCTGCAAATGACCAATGACCCAAATATGCTGTTGTGTTCTGCAACTGTATGTTTCTGCTTTTCCAAGTCCTATTGGCTATATCTTGCCATCTTCTCCCTAGAAATCAAGGAGGTGGAAGAGTAAGCGTGAGGGCTCAGACTCTGGCAATCGGCCCATCAAAGCTGCCGGGAAGGTCATCATCCAGGATGTTTCTTGCCTTCTTCCTGTTCACAAATCACTGGGAGAATTGTACATGTAAGTTCAAGATTTCAAGTATGCTGTGCTTATCACTTTGACAAATCGTGTGTGTGTGTATGTGTGTGTGTGTGTGTGTGTGTGTGTGTGTGTGTGTTTAAAAGCTTTGCAAGTTGTCTTCAAAAGTAATTTTAGGAGAAGCTCTGTTGTCGTATAGCATATTACCACAAACTCAGCAGCTTCAGGTAGTATACATGTATTGCCTTGCAGTTGTCATAGGTCAGGAGCTGGGCCTGGCTTTGCTGGGCTGTTGCTCAGAGTCTCGCCCAGCTAAAATCCTGTAGGCCCCATAGTGATCTACTCTGATGTTCAAGGTCTTTGTCCAGGTTCATTCAGTTATTAACAGAATTCAAACCCTTCTGGACTAAAGAAGACTTAAGTGAATTTCATCTTCTTTAACGCTAGTATAGTGGCTCGCTTAGCCGTTAGCTTTTTTTTTGCCAGTCCTGGGACTTGCACTTAGGGCCTAGGCACTGTCCCTGAGCTGCTTTTGTTCAAGTCTAGTGCTCTACCACTTGAGTACCATTACTGGCTTTTTCTGTTTATGTGGTACTGAGGAATTGAACCTAGGGCTTTGTGCATGCTAACATTCTACCACTAAGCCACATTCCCAGCGCCCTCTCCCTGCCCCCATTACCTCTTTTAAGGCCCTACCTAATTAGATCAGGCCCACTCATGGTAATCTGACTCTTGACAGAGTCTAGGACTTAGTAACATAATCCAGTGGTGACATTCCATTAGTGCTGCCCATATTCAAAAGGAAGAGATTATTCAATGTGTGTACAGCAGGGGGCAGGAGTCTTTGGGGACTTCCCTAGAATTCTGCTCCCGCACTCAATATAGAAAGCAGATAAAAGCACAGCTACTTTGACTGAAGGGAAGTGGGAGGTGAGTGATCAGTCTGCAGAGGCCAACCTGTGGTTCCTTCCTGAGCTTCAACACTTAACAAATGTCTTTTCTGTAGCACACATACAGCATAATATCCTATGTACAAATTACAGTGTTGTACATATTTAAATCCCATAAGCCTTGGGAACTCGACAGAAAAGCTAGTTGGTGAATTAGTGTTTGAGGACAGCTTCTTTTCATCACTTCAGAGCTGTTAACAATTTTACCTTCCCCTAACAAGAACTCACAGCTCAATGAACATCAGCTCCAGTTTACTTCTTCCCTACCCTATCAGATAGAAGGGAGCTTCGCGCCAACATAAAGTAAAACATCTTGAGTGACACCCAAGGGAAAGTTCCTACTCTGTTAAGCCAGGAGACATAGTCTATTAAATCTAGGAAGTTGGACTAGAAAGTAACTTTTTTATTCTTTTTTTTTTTTTGGTCCAGTCGTGGGGCCTGAACTCTGGGCCTGGGTGCTGTCCCTCAGCTCAAGGCTAGCGCTCTACCACTTGAGCCACAGCGCCACTTCCAGCTTTTTTCTTTTTGCTTATGTGGTGCTGAGGAATCGAACCCAGGGCCTCAGGCATGCAAGGCAAGCGCTCTACCACTGAGCCACCTTGCCAGCCCCTTAACTTTTTTATTCTTAAAATTTTTTTTCCAGATTGAATGTGAATGATATTCAGGAAACATGCCAGAAGAATGCCACTTCAGCCATGCTTGTTGGAAGGAAGGATCTTGTCCAGGTATTAAAAATCCTTATTGGTGGAACTTGTTTTGTTTTTTTGGTCGGTTGTGGGGCTTGAACTCCGGGCGGGTGATGTCCCTCGGCTCTTTAACTCTAGTACTATACCATTTGAGCCACAGTGCCACTTCCAGTTTTCTGAGTAGCTTATTGGAGATAAGAGTCTTAAGGCTGTCCAGGTGAACAGGGATATTCAAATCTCAGACTCCTGAGTAGCTAGGAATGCAGACATAAGCCACCTGTGCCTGGCTGAACTTAAATTTTTTTTTATTGTAAAGATGCTATACAGAGGGGTTACAGTTACATGAGTAAGGTAATGAGTACATTTCTTATCGAGCATTGTCACCCCCTTCTTTGTTTTTCTCCTACTATCCCTTCCCTCCCTCACCTTCCTCTCTCTCTTCCCCCCCACCCTGAAGTTTTAAAATTCATTTCCAACATAGGGTCTTGTGAGTCTCATTGTTGCAATGGGTCATCCTGAACTTGGATTTTTTTTTTTGTCAGTTGTGGAGCCTGAACTTTGGGCCTGGGCGCTCTACCACTTGAGCCACAGTACCACTTCCAGCTTTTTCTGCTTATGTAGTGCTAAGAAATCAAACCCAGGGCCTCATGCACGCAAGGGAAGCACTCTACCACTGAGCACCTTCCCAGCCCCTAAACTTGAAATTTTTGGCAGCAGATTTTCATTTGATAGTTGTAGGTTAGTGGCTCCTATTTTCCAGTTCTTTTCTTTTCTTCTTTTTTTTTTTGAATCAATTTTTAGGGCTATAGCAGCTTCTTAAATCCCCTAGATGTTTTTCTTACTAGTGCTCAGTTGGGGAGACCCTAAAGAATTTACTGAATATTTTAACTTCATCTCTTTTCTTTTCCAATACTACACTGAGTATTGCATACCTAAATTTGGGCATCTATGTCTTTACCATTTTTGCCCTCAAATCCTTTTTTCTTTTTCTTCAAAATAACTTTATTATTGTTGTTGTTTGTTTGTTTGTTTTGTCGGTCATGGGACTTAAACTCTGGGCCTGGGCGCTGTCCTCAACGCTTCAGCTCAAGGCTAGTGCTCTACCATTGAGCCACAGCTCTAGCATTTGAGCAATAGCAACACTTCTGGTTTTCTGAGTGGTTTATTGGAAATAAGAGTCTTACGGCTGGCTTTGAACCAGGAGCCTCAGATCTCGCTTTCTGAGTAGCTAGGATTACAGGCATAAGCCACCTGGTCCCCACTTGTTTGTTTGTTTTGTTGTTGTGGGACTGGAACTCAGGGCTTGGGCACTGTCCCTGAGCCTGTTTGTGCTCAAGGCTAGTGCTATACCACTTTAGCCACAGCACCATTTCCTCTTTAACTTTGAAACATGTTCCTCCCCACCCCACCCCCCACTCCACCCCCGTCACTCATGGGGCTTGAACTCTGGGCTTGGGCGCTGTCCCTGTGCTCTTCAGCTCAAGGAGAGCGTTCTACCACTTGAACCACAGCGCCTCTTCCAGTTTTCTAATGGTTTATTGGAGATAAGAGTCTCACGGACTTTCCTGCCCGGGCTGGCTTTGAACCGCAATCCTCAGATCTCAGCCTCCTAAGTAGCTAGGATTATAGGCATGAGCCATCAGCACCCGGCTTTGAAACATGTTTTATCTCACAAAATTTTCCAAAACAGTGTTCCTTTATGTAGAATTGTTCAGCTTAAAAAATAATGATTTAGTCTTACAAAACTGTAAATTTCCTTCATCTTTGCAAGAATACCTAAGTGTATAAGCAAGCTGCTCCTTCCTGTTTTGTTTTTTTTTGTTGTTGTTGTTGGTCATGGAGCCTGAACTCTGGGCCTGGGCACTGTCCCTCAGGTCTTCAGCTCAAGGCTAGCATTCTACCACTTGAGCCACAATGCCACTTCTGGATTTTTCTGCTTAGGTGGTGCTGAGAAATCGAATCCAGGGCCTTATGCATGCAAGGCAAGAACTCTACCACTGAACCACCTTCCCAGCCCCTCCTTCCTGTTGTTTTAAAACAGTTTTATTGAAACATGGTCTGTATACCATGCAATTTACCCACTTAAAAAATTCCAATTGGTGCCGGGCGCCGGTGGCTCATGCCTGTAATCCTAGCTACTCAGGAGGCTGAGATCTGAGAATCGCGGTTCAAAGCCAGCCCGGGCAGGAAAGACGGTGAGACTCCTATCTCCAGTAAACCACTAGAAAACTGGAAGTGGTGCTGTAGCTAAAGTGGTAGAGTGCTGGCCTTGAGCTGAAGAGCGGAGGGACAGCGCCCAGGCCCAGAGTTCAAGCCCCATGACCGACAAAAAAACAAACAAACATTCCAGTTGGTGGGTTTTAGTGTATGCAGTTATGCAACCATCACCACAGCTTTAGAATATTTTTATGGCCCTAAAAAGAAAGCCCAGGCCCCTTAACCTTTTAATTCCTTGTCTGCCTTCCTATCCTTCTCAACTACATGTACCCATTAATTCACTTTCTATCTCAATTGTACCCTGATTCTTTATTGTGAAAATTAGGATGAGAAATGAAAATTGCTAGTGCTTGTCCTATTAGCTCAATATTCTTCCTTATCACTCTCCAAATGAGTCAATTCTAAGCCCTTTCCTTGATTTTTATGATTTAAAAAGTCCCTGGGTTTCCATTTATATTCTAATAAACACCATCAAGTCTCTGCCTGAAAGCCTTTTAAGAGAAATTTAGTTATGGGTTTAATCTACTTCTGTAAAGCAACAGCTACCTTGATTTTATGAACAATACGAAGTCAACATGGTATAGTTGAAATCATAGGATTTATAACAGGAGACTTGGGTCTAGCTTGGCTTTGTACCAGAGTAAACTCAGGAGGTTATCCCTGATTCTTAGCCTTTGAGTGTGTTTGTAAAGTGAGAACTTGAAGAATAATTTCCTCACAGAGTTGGTGAGAAGATTAGTGAATGCTGTATACTGAGGCCATGATTTTCATGTTCTGAAAAAACATGCAGCAAAAAGTATTTCTCAATTCATTCATTTTTATGCTGAACTCAGAGCCTTGTCACTGTCCCTTTTTTGTTCAAACTAGTGCTTTATTACTTGAGCCACAGCTCTATTTCCAGCTGTTTTGGTAGTTTAGTGGAGATAAAAGAGTCTCACAGACTTTAAGTTTTTTGAATCCCAATCTTCAGATCTCAGCTTCCTGAGTAGCTAAGATTGTAAGCCTCCAGTGCCCTTCTGATTCTTAATTTTTTCTTCAATATTTTTCTGGTGCTGTTGACTCAAGTGGTAAAACACTTGCCTTGAGCTGAAGAGCTGAGGGACAGCGCCCAGGCCCAGAGTTCAAGCCCCATGACCAACAACAACAACAAAAAAGGACAGATAAATCAGTAACAAAGCTTTAATATTTTTTTTTATGTCCCTGTTGAAGATGCTGTATTTACTACTTTGTAATAGCTGAAGGAATAAATGTAAAGTGTCATTCTGCTGAAGGCATTTAGGAAATCTGTATTTTGAAATAGCGAGGCCAAGTTGTTAGCCAGGTACCATTCTGCCACTTTGAGCCACTGTTCTACTTCCAGTTTTCTGGTGGTTAATTGGAGATAAGAGTCTCATAGACTTTCCTGCCTGGGCTGGCCCTGAACCACAATCCTTAGATCTCAGCCTCTTGAATAACTAGGATTGCTGGTATGAGCCACCAATGGCTGATTGAATTATAAACTTCCTTAGTCAAAGTCTATGCCTTTGTCCTTTTGTACTTCTCATAGTCTAGAGTAGTCTTTACTAGTTGATGGGTAGACAATGATGTGTTGCTACAAGTGAAAGATTTTTTTCCGGGCTGGGAAGGTGGCTCAGTGGTAGAGCGCTTGCCTTGCATGCCTGAGGCCCTGGGTTCGATTCCTCAGCACCACATAAGCAAAAAGAAAAAAGCCGGAAGTGGCGCTGTGGCTCAAGTGGTAGAGTGCTAGCCTTGAGCTGAAGAGCTGAGGGACAGCACCCAGGCCCAGAGGTCAGGCCCCACGACCGGACCCAAAAAAAAAAAAAAGATTTTTTCCCCCCAAAAGTACTATTTAGTTTTTAGAAGCATCAAGGGCATGGGGACTTTGTTATGACAAGGTATATATAACTTATGGCTTGGATTTATTAGACGCTTAAGGGACATTGCCTTTGGCTGGTGATTCCAAGTCCTAGATTCAGGTTTAGAGGTGTTTCTCAGGTTTACTCTGAACAAAAACAAAGCCAAGTCTGCCTAGTCTTGGCCTGTTCTGCTACAGCTTCAGAGATTATACTAAAATGTCCATAATGAAGGCAACAAAGACTTTCATTATCTGGATAAAGGAGAACATCTTTTTTTTTTTTTTTTTGGCCAGACCTGGGGCTTAAACTCAGAGCATGGGCACTGTCCCTGAGCTTCTTTTGCTCAAGGGTAACGCTCTACCGCTTGAGCCACAGCACCACTTCTGGCTTTTTCTGTGTATATGGTGCTGAGGAATTGAACCCAGGGCTTAATGCATGCTAGGCAAGCACTCTACCACTAAGCCACATTCCCAGCCCAGGAAAACAAATCTTAAATGGGACACAGGATGTGCTTTTTTGCTCCCTGCCAACTCAGTCACTAATGAAGGATCAGAGAAAGTCACATATTAGTGTTTAAATAGTTGACCCTTTTCTCTGAGTGTGTGTGTATCTTTCTGTCTCTCTGTTTCTGTCTGTCTCTCCCTCTCCCCCTCCTCTCTTTCTTTCCCCTTCCCGCCCCTCTCTTTGTTTTGGTCAGTCATAGGGCTTGAACTCTGGGCCTGGGTGCTGTCCCTCAGCTCTTCAGCTTAAGGCTAGTGTTCTACCACTTGAGCCACAGTGCCACTACTGGTTTTCTGGTGCTTAATTGGAGATATGAGTCTCACAGACTTTGCTGCATGGGCCGGCTTTGAACTGCAATCCTCAGATCTCAGCCTCCTGAGTAGCTAGGTTTACAGGCGTGAGCCACCGGTGCCCGGCCTCCCATCTTTTTTTTGAGACAGATTCTTGCTGGGCTAGCCTTGAACTCATAATCCTCCTGCTTCACCTCAAGTACTGCTGGGATTATTTACAGGCCTTTGCCACCATTCCTGGCTTTGTTATTATTGTTATCATTATCAGTATTACTAGTGGTATTGGGGTTAGAATTCATGGCCTTGCATTTGCTAAGCAGGTACTCTACCATTAAGCCTGTCCCCAGGCCATTGCCTTATTAGTGAAAGTTTTAAAGCTAGTGTTTCCCAAGCAATATAGTGTACACAGAGTCACTTAAGATTTTGTTAAAATGTGAATTCTGATTCAGTAGGGCTGAATGGATCTAAAGTTTTGCAGGGACCTAGCTGTTATTGCCCTAGAGTGGGCAAGGCTTTAGGCTGTAGATAGAGAAAAGTAGAGATTCCTCTGTGATCCTACCTAGTTTGAGTTTGACTCTCTCTTTTTGATCTGTCCAGGTTTGGTCACTGGCTACAGTAGCTACAGATCTTTGCCTTGGTCCGAAGTCTGACCCAGATTTGGAAACACCCTGGGCTCGACATCCATTTGGACGACAGCTGCTGGAATCCCTGTAGGTTTTGGGAGCTAAAAGTGAGAAAAATGAGTGATGTCCATTTTAGGTCTGGAAACACTTTAAATGTTGCTGCCTTAGAGCAAGGTGCAAAAGCCAGAGGGATGAAGGGAAGGAGTGTGCCATTTCCTTTTAGCACTGGCATAACTCTTGTGCAAGATACATTTTTTATAGCTCAAGGCCTTTATTTGTCATGTATAAGAAGAGTTTGAGACCCTTAAGTGAGAGTCATGTTTTTGTAAGTCACACCAGTTTATATATGGGCCTTTGAGCTCTGGAATGGTAAATTTCTACTTGATGCTCTGGGATTGGTCTCTGGGAACAGACAGAGAATTGTGTGTTGTTCACATTCGTTCTCTCAATACCAGGATGATTTCACTATTAGGCAACTCATGAAGATAATTGTAGTTGTATTTCATTTGCTGCACTGAAATTTGGCAAGTGAAATATGCAAAATGATTTACCACCAAGTAAGACCACTTGAATCTCTATCACACTTGAGTGTCAGGGTCTGAGCAGGAAACTCCACTTCGTTCAGGATGAAGTGTTTGCTTTCCTTACTTTCCAGACCTGGAAAACCTGTTTGTCCTCCTGTTACCTTACCCTTAACACAGGGGGTTACAGTGCTTGTTTTGCCTACTTCATATAGGGCCTTGATAGCACAGTCAGCATAAAACAGTTACAAAATCTTAGACGCTGAGTGTAGGAAAGTGTCAGAATTATTCCATCTCCAAGGAGTAACACCAATCCCTAACTCACATTCTAGCATAGTGTTCTTGAAAGACTAAAGGTAAACCTATTCTTTGTCCTTCTTATGTAAATAGCTCACACTTATAATTCTGCAGGCAGTGGCTTGTCCACATGTTCTCTGAGCACCTCCCACAGCTTTAGATTAAATGAGAGACATATGTGGGAACTGCACTGGGAGCTGGGAGACTGAGATCATGGACTGCTTCTCTCAGATGATGGGTTGGTCTGCCTGGTTCCTGGAGAAGCTACATTCACATGCCAGCCCCAGCATGGATACCAACCAGAAGGTTTCTAGTTGATGTCTAGGTGATTTGTAATACTCTGATACCTTTTTATTCCAAAACAAGTGTACAGTAGTAGTTAGCATAGACCAGAGCCTGAGTTACAGAAAGTCCAGTTCCTGAGGAGTTTGAGATAGGATGCAGAATCCTCCGCCATAACATGGTACTTGTCCTTCTTCCAGCCTTCCTCTTGACCTGTTTCCTCTCATCTGTATTTTCAGGTTGGCTCATTATTGCCGACTCCGGGATGTTCAGACCTTGGCTATGCTCTGCAGTGTGTTTGAAGCCCAGTCTCGGCCTCAGGGGATACCAAACCCCTTTGGGCCTTTTCCTAACCGTTCTTCTAATCTTGTGGTCTCCCACAGTCGATATGTAAGTTTGTAAGCTTTCTGGTTTGCATCTGATTTTTCCTTAGTGTAAGCTTACATGTGGAATGAGATTCTGATACCAGTGTGCTCCTCCTTCCATGTAGCCCAGCTTTACCTCCTCGGGGTCCTGCTCCAGTATGTCAGACCCAGGGCTCAGCACCGGTGGCTGGAACATAGGTGGGTGTGGAAACGCTGGTGTGCACACACTGCTCATATTAACCTTCACTTGGTCCTGACTCTCCATGGCTATTGTTGTTTCTCATTTTTCTCTCTGTTTAGTGTGATAGAGATACAACTATCAGCAAGGTCTGGCTTTACATGTTGAAAGGGCCGCTTTGTAGAAGGTCTTTATGCCTTGTTGGGTTTATCCTTAAATTCTCTCTGTCTCTATCTGACAGTCTGTCTCTTTGTCTGTCTCTGACTCTGTGTGTAGGTCTCTCTCTTGTGCTGGGTATAGAACTCAGGGCCTTGTGCATTCTAGGCAAGCATTGTATCATTGAGCTATCTGCACACCTCTATCTTTATTCCTGTACATGCCTCTTTCTATTATCATCTTCTACTTCTTATCATCTACTTCCTCCCAATATTATTTTTAGTATAGAGAAATGAAGCTGGGCCTGACTCCAGGGGGCTCTAAAGATCTGTTTTATGAATAGTTATCTTTGTTTCCTGGGTTTAAATTTGTCTTTCAAAAAATGAACTTAATTTCTCTTTTTTTTTTTTTTCAAATAGGTAGAGTCTCAGTATATTGTCCAAGCTGTATAGTGGTTATGCTATGTATGCTGTTTTATGTTCTGCTTTAATTTTATCATGAGCATTTTCTCACGATATTTAACAAGCCTTTACATAATCATTATACAACATTCTACTATACCATGATACCATAATTTGGTTCATTATTTTGTGTACTTAGTTTCCAGGTACTCCTAATTATTAATACCCATCCAAAGAAGTAAGGCTAGGAAAGAGTTCTTCGTTAGTTCCATTTCTCAGCATCTTTAGCTAATTTGTTTTTCTTTAGGGACTCAATTGGACCCATACTGTAGTAAGAGGTGTAAGAGCGTTTTCAGGTAACTTTCCACACCTTTTTGATGGCTATCTTCTCTCCTCATTTGCTTTTCTTCAGCGGGGAGAGAGACAGATCATGTGTCTTCACCTTGGGGAGAGTCCTCCCCAGAAGAACTCCGCTTTGGGAGTCTCACCTACAGTGATCCTCGTGAGCGGGAACGTGACCAGCATGATAAAAATAAAAGGTAAAAACTTTCCTAGGCAAGAGGTATGATTCCAGAACTTGAGTCTCCAAAATCAGGACTCTTGTTTTGAGAAAGATGCAATAGGTTTCATTGGCTACCGAGCTTGTTTTGTTTTAAAGGAAATAACAGGAAATCTTTGGGCTTTTACCCAGGCTTCTGGATCCCGCCAATACCCAGCAGTTTGATGACTTTAAGAAATGCTATGGAGAAATCCTCTATCGTTGGGGTCTGAGAGAGAAGCGAGCAGAAGTGCTGAAGTTTGTGTCCTGTCCCCCTGATCCTCACAAAGGGATCGGTGAATATGAATTTCTCTTTTCCTGTCACTCTCTGAAAGGTTGTCTATAACCCCACACTTGGAATGAAGTTTTTAGCTTCTTCTGCCACATAACAAGATTGACTTTCTGTTGTAGAAGTACTACAGTATAGGGTACTCCATTCTGAGTATCTGTTTTGGACATCGTAGTCAGAGTGGGTTGGAGGTAGGAGTGTTTATTCATGTATTCAGCAATCCCTCTTTCACTTGATTGCTGTTGTTATACACAGAGGCTGGCTCCATCAGTAGAGCTTTGCTGGCTTACCCATTTCCTTGCCGGAGCAAGATTGCACATCTTCCCAGCCCCCCATCACATGCTCCTAGCCTTTGAGAAGATGTGTGATACCCTGTGGACTCAGTAAAAGTGATAGTTTTCACTCCTGGGCTCAAAGGGGAACCTAAAAAAGCAATGTTGAGAGCCAGAAATGTGGCTGAGAGGAATTCTGGCTTCAATTCCTTAGTATCACAAAAACAGAAAAAGCCAGAAGTGGCACTGTGGTTCGATGTGGTAGAGTACTAGCCTTGAGCAAAAAAGAAGCTCAGGAATAGTGCCTAGGCCCTGAGTTCAAACGCCAGGACTGGCAAAAAAAAAAAAAAAAAGCAATGTTTGTTGAGGCTTTCTTGACAAAGCTAAATTCTTTCCTATTACACAAGCCTCATAAACATCTGGTTTATCTCAATTCCTGAAACAATCTGAACATACAGCATCTTGGACTATTTTCCTTGCCTTCTACAGAACAATCAAGTTGGAGGAGAGTATACACTCTTGTGCCAATTTCCCCGTCTACCAGTTTATGAGGCTAGGCTGCGTTACAGAAATGAATTTGGCCTTCCTTTTAAAGGGGTTTGTAGATAGTTGCTTCCAGTGACCAGGAATGCATCCTAAGGGGGAGTTTGTCCAGATGGATTGGGAACTTCCCACTAACTGGAGGGAAAGAAAGAAGGGGAAAAGCTGAGTGTTGCTGGCTGACACCCGTAATCTTAGCTACTCAGGAGGCTGAGATCTGAGGATCACCATTTAAAGCCAGCCAGGCAAGAAAATCTGTGAGACACTTATCTCCAATAAACCTCTTGGAAAAAGCCAGAAGTGGAGCAGGTGGTAGAGCCTTGAGCAAAAGAAGCTCAGGGACAGTGCCTAGGGCCTGAGATCAAGCCTTAGGACTAGCCAAAGAAGAAGGAGGAAGGAGGGAAGGAGGGAGGGAGCAAGAGAAAGGAAGGAAGGAAGGAAGGAAGGAAGGAAGGAAGGGGGAGAGAGAGAGAGAAGGAAGGAAGGAAGGAAAGAAGGAAGGAAGGAAAGGAAGGAAGTAGCAGAGTCCTGATCCAGTGTCCCAGCCTCCCCTTTGACCCTTACCTACTAGTCAGGGGAGCATCCTTCTTTCCCCAGCCAATTCTTATGCTGTGGAGTCTATACCCCACCTGGGTGGTGGCCATCTGGGTTGTAGAACCTTCTTGGGCTTTCCTGTGGAGCCAAGAATGAAGTTCCTTAGATTTAATGTTCTGATTAAATTTATTCCTTCTACTGAAAACACAATTTTGCCACTAAGAAAGGAATTTGAGGGCTGAGAAGGTAGCTCAGTGGTAGAGTGTTTGCCTTGCATGCATGAGGCCCTGGGCTCGATTCCTCAGCACCCCATAAGCAGAAAAAGCTGGAAGTGGCGCTGTGGCTTAAGTGGTAGAGCACTAGCCTTGAACTGAAGAACTGAGGGACAGCCCACAGGCCCAGAGTTCAGGTGCCGTGACTGACAAGGAAGGAAGGAAGGAAGGAATTTATTTGAGCCAGATACTGTTAGTTCATGCCTATAATCCTAGCGCCTCAGGAGGCTGAAAGCAGCAAGCATCCTAATGACATTTAAATGACATGTCTGTATCCATAGAACATGCATGGGTTTGGCTTTGATTTCAGAAGAGTGAGAGAAAGCTGAGAGGAAGGGGCTCACAAGGAAATTTCAGCCCTAAGTTAGCAAAACAAGACAGTTAAAAATGAGCTTATTAACCAATTCTTCAGAAAGTCAGTCACCGCAGCTGGAGAGGGCAGTGCCTCAAGTGTGCCCAGCCACCGTCACCAGAGATGTCACCAAAGATAAATGGCAGGTGGTTGGTCTCGCTGAAGAAGGAATTCAGGGGTGGACACACAGAGGGGTTTTAACAGGACAAGATTTATTGAAGCACAGGCAAAAGTACACTCCCATAGAAGACTGAGGGTGGGCAGCTTAACCAAGCTATCAGGAGCCAATGCAGGAGCCAGATAGGATGAGGGCCAGCCAGCCAGCCAGCCTGCCCGCCCGCCTGCCCGCCTGCCCGTGCACTCAAGCCTTAGGCACTTTTACAGGTAGGGTTCAGTGCTTCTGCTTAGGATGTGCACATAGTTTTGGAGGGTTCCATAAAATGGAAGGGCATTTCAAAGAACCAGGGGACAGGGAGTGGTTTCCCTAATAAAGTGTCAAAGCCAAGTGGAGAGCATAAGACCACAGGTAGAAGGGAGACAGATGAGCCATGGCTCACGCTTAGGGCAGGGAAAGTCCCTGTTGGGGTCTATTGCCAGGGACTATTGACCATTGTACCAGGAAGTTGCCTCAACCATGATATTCCAGGACAATGGTGGAGCAGGATGTTCCCAATAACAGTGCTGCACCTGCTCTCCAGCTCCTTTGTGTTGTTGTCTCTTTTTCCCTGCCACCTCCATCTCTATAGAGCTCATTCAGTGCAGGTTTTCCAGATGACTCCATGAAGAGGAGACAAAGATGTTGAGTATATTTATAAAAAGGTGGAACATAAAATCAATCCATGTATTTCAGGTTGGTTAAAAGGTAAAAGAAAGGCAAGAAGGAATGGAAGTATGGATTAGAAACAAGAAGACCAAGGCCTGAAAGGCCAAGAATGCAGGGAGTCCTGGGATGAATTGTGGAGACACCTCCTTTCTGAGGGGCTGATAATCTCATTTGCTAATTTCCTTTCAAGTGCCCTCCTCTCCAAACTCTCTCTCTCTTTTGAGAACAAAGTCAAACCATTGAATAACCACATTTAAGAATTGGAGTAGAGGGGCTGGGGAGGTGGCTCAGTGGTAGAGTGCTTGCCTTGCATGCATGAGGCCCTGGGTTCGATTCCCCAGCACCACATAAGCAAAAAGAAAAAATCCGAAAGTGGCGCTGTGGCTCAAGTGGTAGAGCACTAGCCTTGAGCTGAAGAGCTGAGGGACAGCGCCCAGGCCCAGAGTTCAGGCCCCACAACCGGACCCAAAAAAAAAAAAAGAATTGGAGTAGAGGAAAGGGGAGACCTACACCTAGAAGTCTTTAGTGAACAAAGTAGAAGGGGTGTCTAGAAGTCAGTGGATAGCAGCAGAGAAAAGAGGGAGAGGCTGGTGCTGTCACATAGCCTCAGCCCCAGAGGATAAGGATGGTCTATGGACAGCAAAGGGCCTTTTATCCAGGTGAGAGCATAATTCAGAAAAGAGAAGATAGGGTGTATATGGGAAGCTGCAGGGGCATTGCAGGCTAGTACAGATGCCTGGGTGCATTCGAGAGTGAAGCAGATGGTGGCAGGTGAGGGATGGGCCCTGTGGCTTCTTTCAGGAGGCAGAAATCCTGTCCTAGCACAGCGCTGTCCTGGCTCAGCCGTGGAGCAGTGTCCTGTGTGCTGATGTGGGCCAGCCTCTGCTCAGTCAGCAGGCAGTAAGGAGGGCTGGTTGTAGAGTTGGTAAAACCAGTCTGCTCTCACCTGAAGTGTTCCCAGAGCCATTCTATTTTTCAACACATCAGGTCAGGCCTCTGCCAGCTGCGGAAGCATCAGATGGAACGAGTGCCTGCTGTTCAGCACTGGGTTTCACACAGGGCCTCTGAGAGTCAGCAGCTGGCCCTGCCCCTGCCCCTGCCCCTGCAGCAACAGCATCTCCCATTGAAAGCAATTCTTTTTATTCTTAGTCCAAGACTGGGATTTGATCTTGGTATCTGATGCTTTCACACACTGGCTGATATTCTACCACCTGAGTGCCTCCAAACCCCAATTCTTCTCATTCTTTCTATTTTTAAATTTTATTTTATTTTTTGCAATACTGGGGCTGGACCTCAGAGCCTTGTGCGTGCCTGGCTGGTACTCTGCCACGGAGTTACATGCTCAGCCATAGCACCCTGGTAGTGGGCTTATATAGATAGCAGAAGTTCTGCCATTTTTAAAAAGAGAAAGACACAAGGATGATGATGTAGATTTCCCTCCAGACGACTGTCAGGCTGTCTTTGAACTTTACCCAAAAGGGTGGGCAGCAGCAGCAGCAGCAGCAGCAGCAGCAGCAGCAGCGTCTCTTGGCTGCTCCATTGGATTGTCACACCTCCTGCAGGGCTGCAAATTTCTACACAGACTGGTTAAGGATTCATTACATAGGCTTAGGCATGGGCCCAGGACAATTTAACTAGGTATTTCTTTTTAATAAGGCTAGGGTTTCTCAGCTCCTTGAGTCGCTACAGTCAGATAGAAAATCCTGAGGGATATATAGCTTTTATTTTCTCCTCCACCCCCACCCTGACCAGGACCAGGACTTGAACTCAAGTTTGCTCAAAGGCTGCCACTCTACCACCTGAGCCATGCCTCCAGCTCTGGGATACAGCTTTTTTACCTGACAACCCCTAGTTTTCTGTTTTAGAACTAAACTCACTCTCGCTTTTGTCTTCCTTCCTTCATTTCCAGAGTTTGGTGTGTATTGCAGCCACTGCCGGAGTGAGGTCCGTGGAACACAGTGTGCCATCTGCAAGGGCTTCACATTCCAGTGTGCCATCTGCCATGTGGCCGTGCGCGGGTCATCCAACTTCTGTCTGACCTGCGGCCATGGTGGCCACACCAGCCACATGATGGAGTGGTTTCGGACTCAGGAGGTGTGTCCCACTGGATGTGGCTGCCACTGCTTGCTGGAAAGCACCTTCTGAGCTTAGGGATGGTGGCAGTGTCAGAAATCTCAGGGGGCCTTACAAACGCTTTCTCCTGGGAGAAGCCTCAGGACCCAGGTTGCCCCCAGCAAGATGGGTTGTATTTACCCAATCAGACGGATGCTTCATGAGCCTTTGTCTTCTCTTTGGGAGAAGATAGACCGGAAGAAGGAGAGAGCCGCTGCATAAAGCCAGGTTTTATGCATTTGTCAGCTGAGGAATCACAGTGGAAGTTTTCAGGCGGAAAAGCCCTTGCCTTCAGAGCCAATGCTGACCTTCAAAGCATTAGCTTTAAACCATGAGCGAGCACTCCACATGCTAATATATAGACCAACTTAGCTGCTAAAGGCAGTCTCCTAAGCCAAAGGTCCACAAGTGGGCCTTTGACGCTTTAGAAGTTGATAACCTTAAAGAGTTGAAGCCAGAAAGTGGCGCTGTGGCTTAAGTGGTAGAGCACTAGCCTTGTACACAAAGAGGCTCAGGGATAGTGCCCAGGCCCTGAGTTCAAGCCCCACAACCGACAAAAAAAAAAAAAAGAGATGCTGGTCAGTGGCCTTCTAAGATGTGATACTGAAAGTATAAATATGTAATATACTTACAGGTTCTTAATTGTATATTTTAACATTTCCAGTCTCTTTCCTTTGGCTAATAAAACTAGTAATCGTTAAAGCAAAACAAAAAAACAGAAAATTGACCATCTCAGTGAATCATTTTCCATCCTACATCTGATTTAAGTAACTGATTTAGATGAGACCAAAATCAGTGCTCCCATTTCTAAAGGAAATGCTCATTGATCTCAATCATACGACAAGAGAAAATAGAATTTGACATTTAAGGTTCTTCCCAGCCCAGAGAATCTCCTAATTATTACTTCTAGCAAAGGAAGTTGAGATTGCAACTCAACATTGGTACAAAAGTCCCCTCTGCCTGTGCATCAGCTGTGTGGGTTCCAGTGAGCGCCTCATTCCTTCTTGGGCTCCCTTGTAAACCATGTCTTGAGTTTCGCTATTTACCAGTGGCCACAGCTCATGCATGCACCATTTCTTTAGAGTGAATTTTCCACAGTTCATACTTTGAATGTGCCAAGGAAGAGAAAGCTATAAAAAAATTTCTGTTGAAGCTGGGCGTCGGTGGCTCACGCCTGTAATCCTAGCTACTGAGGAGGCTGAGATCTGAGGATCACGGTTCAAAGCCAGCCCAGGCAGGAAAGTCTGTGAGACTCTCCAATTAACCACTAGAAAACCGGAAGTGGTGCTGTGGCTCAAGCGGTAGAGTGCTTGCCTTGAAATGAAGAATGCAGGGATAGTGCCCAAGCCCAGAATTAAAGCCCTACGACCAACCAAAAAAAAATTCTGTTGAAATTCCTATTTTGTAGAATTTTGCAATTCCAAATTGACTATCTTGACTGTAAATAATGATGTGTCCCAAGATGGGAGAGGGCTGTGTGTCACTGTGTTCCAAACCACAGGTTAGCACCTGTTCATAGATTGTGCACTTAATTTAGTGATTAATAAAGAAAAGAAGGTGGCTGGGAAGGTGGCTCAATGATAGAGTTCTTGCCTCGCATGCATGAGGCCCTGGGTTTGATTCCTCAGTACCACATAAACAGAAAAAGCTGGAAGTAGCACTGTGGCTCAAGTGGTAGAGCACTAGCCTTGAGCTAAAGAGCTGACGGACAGCACCCAGGCCCAGAGTTCAAACTCCAGGACCAACAAAAAAAGAAAGAAAAGAAAATAGCATAGAAGAGAAATGACCAATGTACTCACTCCTGCGTACTAATATAATTAAGGGAAATGTTTTGTACTGTAACATACCTGTTTACAAGCATGTACACAAACTTGTACACAGGTTTGCTCCATCCCAGTGTAAATTCATTTCTTATTGAAGGTTGTGAGCTAAAACATTCCCAACTACCATTTTGGATGATGTGTATATCTTGTCCCCTGTGTAACTGACTGACCAAGAGACAACATTACATAAGAAAAAGGCTTAGATCCTGCAGTGAGACTAGAAGCTGAACTCTAGGCTCTGACCCAGGTGTACGTGCCAGTATCTTAGAGGTGTGAACAGCCTTCTGTGCTGGGATGAGAGTAAACGACCCAGGGCATCAGTCTCACTCTGCGCTTCCCTTGTTTGGGTTACAATGACACAAGTGGTAGGCCTAGAATAGGTTGATCAAAGATCTCTTCTGTTCCTGAGTGAATTCACACCATTTGCAAAGAATCCTCTTCCTGTTCCTCACTGCTTGAGCTAATGTGAAAATGTGTTAGTCTGTCCCCATCATGAATGAGATGTTAGCTGGGAGTGGTGGCTTCCTATAATCCTAGGGACTCACGAGGCTGAGACTGGGATCCAGTTCAAGCAAAAAGTTTGTGAGACTCTCATCTGAACAAACAAAAAGCTAGGTGGCAGTAGTATAAGCATGTTGTTCCAGCCATATGGGAAGTATAAATAGGAGGATAGTGGTCTAGGCAAAAAAAGTGAGACTCTGTTTGAAAAAATAACAAAAACAAGGAGAATGATGGCGTGACATTGATCCAGATGCATTGTACACATGAATTGACATGTTGAAACCCTTTGTCCAACTATTTAAAGATAATATAAATTTTTTGTTGTTGAACAACAGGGCTTGAACCCAGGGCCTGGGCACTGTCCATGAGCTCTTTTGCTCAAGGATAGCCCTTTGCCACTTTACGCCACAGTTCTACTTCCAGGTATTGAGTGGTTCATTGGAGATAAAGAGAAAGTTTCATGGGGACTTTTCTGCCCAGGCTGGCTTCAAACCACAGTCCTCAGATCTCAGCTTCTTGAGTAGCTGGGATTACAGGCATGAGCCATCACCACATGGCATATATACTTTTTTAAAAAGAAGAAAATAACAAAAGCAAAAAGGGCTGAAACAGGACAGGACTCAAGTGGTAGAGCAACTGCCTAGCAAGCATGATGACCTGAGTTCAAATTTTACTACTACCAAAAAAAAAAAGCTGTTATGTTGGCTTCTCATTTTAGGAATCTTGTCTTCCAAAACAGAAAAACTTCTATAGTGAAGGTGAATCAATTCCAAGTTTTAAAGCATTACATAATGTCTCTTTTCAATATGTGAATTGCTTTTGGATGTCCAGGTTACCAGAACAAAAGTCAAAACATTTTTTTTTAAATCACATTTGGAGACATGTTCATGTGGATGCTGGCCAAAGTCAATGTTCTGTCTGCCTCAGAATGGATAATTAAAAGCACCTCAGTCTTGTTTTGTTTTGAGACATTCTTGCAACAGATCCAGCTGTCTTTGAATTTGAGATCCTCCTGCCTCAGCCTTCTAAGTGCTGGGATTACAGGTGTGTATTGCTATGTGCAGATTTTATTTTTAATTTTTATTTATTTTTAATACATTTTTATTGTAAAAATACTACTGTACAGAGGGGTTACAGTTACATGAGCAAGGCAATGAGTACATTTCCTATCAAGCATTGTTGCCCCCTCCAGCTTTTTTTTTTTTAAGACCTTATAATCTGCATTCTGAAGTGCCTTTGAATTTGGTAAGATAAACAGAGTTAGCGGTTCAATTTGTACACCAGAAAGAAAAGGGTTGCTTCATCAGCCTCTCAGAAACAACAGGTTAAAAGGAATAGGTAGCCTTCAGCTTGACTCTGTGTTCTTGACCTTATCTCCCCCAGAATACAAATGATATAATGCTTTCCCTGTTAATGTCACATACAATCAAGTATGCTTATAGTTTATTTAATATCGAGTAAGCCTACATTATTTGTGTATTTCACATTGGCCAAAGGGCAGACAGAAATAAATTTTAAAAATCACAAGAAATTTCAAGCTGGGTGCTGGTGGCTCACGCCTGTACTCCTAGCTACTTAAGAGGCTGAGATCTGAAGATCATGGTTCAAAGCCAGCCAGGGCAGGAAAGTCCATGAAACTCTTATCTCCAATAAAAAAGAAATTTTAAAAACAATTTAAAATCCTGTGCATGCATGACACAGCTCAGCTGATGTGAGTCCTGTGTTATTGTCAGTTTTGTTTAGATTACCGTGGTATCTCTGTGTCTCCTAGCTCTTAATTTGGTGAATATACACCTCTCCAGAAGCAACTGTATCCAGAAAGCAAGGTAAAAGTGGATGTGCTCCAATGAGGTAATAAAGAGAAACGTTTAGATTTGTTGAGAGGTGGTTTTGGTGGAAGTTGGGTGGTGGTATGGTAGAAAAAAATGAGTCACACACATGCATAGTACAGTATTCAACTGCATCCTGAGCATTTGCAGCTTTTTTTTTTTCTCAACAGTATCTCTGGAGCCACATACCTGCGGATCCCAAGAGTCTACTGCAGAAATGACCATGCTGAAGTCCCATGCTGGGAGCTCTGTCCCTTGCTCAGTAGAACCTTGAGCGGCTAGCAGGAATGAGGGGAGAGAGCCAGTGATTTGAGTGGTTTCATGTAGCAGGAGACAAGGCAAAGAACATCCATGCATTCTACCAGAAGACAGATCCGGCAGCTGCCCCTGGGCAGAAAGGTTTGGGGAACAACCTAAACAACAGTATCACTTTTTTAGCCTTCTGGTTTTTTTTTTTTTTTAGATGTAGAAACAGTTAAAAGAAAGAAAAAAAACAGGGTTATAAATCACACCTCCTATTTTATTGTTTGCTTCATACCATCCTCCAAGGTAGAAGTAGCGATTGGGTATTAAGTGCACACTCACAGGATAGATTCCACGGGATAAAACATCCCTTGGACATCTCGTTCTTAGAATCCAGTGTCCTTACACAGAATCAGAAGTAAATACTGTATTTTTTAAAATGTTTTTTATTGTAAAAATACTGTGCAGAGGGGTTACAATTACTATTGAGCATTGTTAGCTCCTCCTTTGTTTTTCCCTACCATCCCTTCCCTCCCCACCACTCCAACTCCCCCCCCCCCCAACACATTCTTATTCTAGCATGTTGTTAGTATCGTTGATTTCATTTTTTTTTTTTTTTTTGGTCGGTCATGGGGCTTGAACTCTGGGCTTGGGCGCTGTCCCTCAGCTCTTTAGCTCAAGGCAAGCCCTCTACCACTTGAGCCACAGCGCCACTAACGATTTGATGTTTTTTGTTTTATTCTTGAAGCTTTATTCATCAAGTATTTAATATAAGATGGGTACTGGGATAAAGATGAACCATACAAGTGTGGGTTTTGCTCTGCTGGAGATGAGTCCAAGAGCTGGAAATTGGCTTATTTATTGAAGTGCTTTGTGTGACTCCAGAGAGGGCCGAGAGCATCCGGAGGGAAGGTGGAGTCCGAGCTGAAGGGTGAGTGCTTTCTGTGGGAAAGCTGGAGGGACATAGGAACAGCTTTGCCAAGTATAGGCAAGAACACATGAACAGGGGACATGTTCATCAGTGGTGCCTAGGCTGGAGCTGATGAATGTCAAGGGGAGGAGACAGGAGCCAGAGAACAGGAAGCCTGAACACTGTGCCAGGGAGTCTGGGCTTTATCTGTAAGCCTAGAGAGTCAGGCTCTGTTGTTTCTTAAAGTCACCCCTGGGCTTTCCTCTCCTCCCTACTTACTTGCTCCAAGATCTTCCTGGCCTGTCCCTCCAGGCCTGTCTGAGGTAAGTTAGGGAATCCAGCCTGACAAACACAAGATGAGCAGCTGAAATCCCTCGTGCTCCCACCACAACACACTTGGTTTCCAAAATGTGTAAGCATTTCCCGCTCCCTCCCATGCACCAAGCAGTTAATTCTCTGGCAGAGAAAATTTTCAAACAGAAAGGAAATGCTGAATGAATCTAATAACATCAGGAAGGAATAAGGTACAGTAAAAGGCTTGTCACCACTGGTGGCTTAAACTTCTAATCCTTACCTACTCAGGAGGCTGAGATCTGTGGATCAGAGTTAGAAGCTAGGCAAAGCAGGCAAGCCGAAGAGAGGCTCGTATCTCTAATTAACTACCAAAACACTTGAAGTAGAACTTTGGCTCAAGTGGTAGAGCACCACCTCTGAGAAGAAAAAAAAAGCTCAAGGAGAGTACCCAGGTCCTGAGTTCAAACCTCAAGTACTGGCACAAAAAAGAAAAAAGCAGA